TTTTGCTCGTTTTGGGGCAAAACTTGCCAAGTTACTTGATCACTTGTGCTTTGTGACTGCTGATTAAGTAAGTACAAAGCAGCTCCCTTGATAAGAGCACTTAAACTACTTGCCTTTTACCCCTCCCTACCTGGGCATAAAAGGTAATGATGGAATTGGCCCACTTTCACTTTCATAAGCTGTGACTGTTCTTTCACCAGGAGTTTGCTTGACAATGAACCACTCCCCTTTTTAGGGCTACTTGTATTCAGTGTATCACGGAGGGAAGGGGGACTGAGCTGCAAACCAGGACCCAGGGATCCTGCTCTTACTCCACTCCCCTCTTTGCCTGTCGCCCCGCATCCCGAGAAAGCGCATGTGTGCAGGGAAGCAGCGGCGCCGGAGAACCACTGAACAGGCCAGGATCCGACACCGGAGACGCTCGGAGCAGGCGGGTAGGGAGGTCTGGGAGAGGGCAGCACCCTGTACTCCGCTGAACGCCACATGCACACGGGTCTGGGAGTAACTGGTTCTTCTCTCACCCCGGGGAGGCCGTCCTCGAACGCGTTCGGATCGGAGGCAGCGCAGGCCCGGGTCTCGGAACCCTGGCTGCCCGCGTCCGAGGGGACGAGGACGGTCTCCCACCTCGCTGCCGCCGTCCCCACGCTTCTCGGGCTGCAACCGGGTCTGGTCCCTCCCCGCCAAACCTTCCCACTGGTCCCACGCGGTCCTACCTGCTGCAGCAGCCGCGCGGAGCACTCAGACACCACACCGTCCATCCTCGCGTAAGCGACACACACGCCCAGTGGCCGGAAGTGGAAGCTGCCAGCCCGCCCGGAAGCGGAAACCCGTCCCGCCTTCTCCGGCGGCCCGTCTGGGTACGGCCGCCTCTGCCGCCTCCTGGCGGGACATGGGTCTCCCTGCAGGCAGGACACGCCCAGAGGTCGGCCGGGGTGGGGTCTGCAGCCCTTAGACTCCGCAGTCGGTGCGAGAGCAGAGGAATTGAGCGGGCTGGGAGAGCTCTGTGCTTGGACTGACTTGGACAAAAGCATTTACCTAGAACCTCTGTCTCTCGAGGGCTTCAGTTTGCTCCTCTGTGAAATGGGTAATTGACATAAGACACTCATTTATCACAGTAACAAGCATTTATTGTGCGCATTAATATGCCAGACACTATTTCAAGGCGCTGGAACATAAGCTGGAAACAAAGACAAGGTCCCTGAGAGATTTGTAGACAATAAAGTAATTTCAGATTTAATTGCCAGGAAGGTCATGTGGCAGAGTGATTTGGATCACGGAAGGTCTTTTGAGCAGGTGATATTTGAGTTAAAATTTCAAACATTTATTCTGGGATTTAAGCTCTGGGAGGACAAGGACAGTAACTGTCTTGTTTCCTCTTCCCTAAAGCCCCTACTTAGAGGAGCAGTCTCAAATCTTTTCTGCTGTGTGCCTCATAAAAAATACTTAAACATTCATATTTGAGTGTAGTCTTTTCAAAGTTGGCATCTGAAAACTCTTGTCACAACTTTAAATAGTGGCAGTGGAATATTTTCTGGTGTGTTGTTTCTGGTATAAGTGCTCGCAATGTCATTTTCAGCAAAACTGTGGAGCAGCAAATTTAGCTCATCTAATTTATGGGAAATGTTGCCATATTAATTAATAGGTAAAACCAGTCCTCTTTGTCAAATCTGTTAAAAAGGAAGAGGCCCGAAATGGAGCCACTTATGTGACGCTCCACCAAGACTCAGTACCTAGTGTAATTGCAGTTTCAACCTCTCCCAGGTGTGTAATTTTAAACCCATCAGTCTGGAATTTCCTGATTACAAGTGAGGCAATCTGCAGAAGAACCCCTGGGTCTTCCCTCTAAGGGAAAGTGACCTGGTGTCACAACAGCCTTGGTCTTCACGCTAGGTCAGGAGGGGCTGACTCAGGCAGGCTGAAGCCAGAGAAAGTCTGGGAAGCTTGGAGAGTGGCAGCTTTCCCATAAACTCCCCAAGCTTGGTAAAGCACCCTGGGGACTCTAAAGGATAAAGGGCAGAGGTGGGCACCATTGAGCCCCAGAGCCCCCTGACTTGCCTCCATCCTTCACCCTTGTTCTGCAGTCATCAGCACCCATGGCTCAGGACTGGTTGCTGGGGACACAGATGAATTAGACATACAGTCTGTGTCCACAGGAACTGGCAATCTAGTCTAGTAGGGGAGAAGTCATATTAAAAAATGTTTAGGAAATAGGAAGATGTGTGTGGGTTGTTAGTGGTGGCAGGTGTGATGGCCTGGCTGGTGGGTGATGAGGAGGGTTTCTAGAGGTGATATTTAGGCTGGGAATGGGATGAGGAAGGGTGTTCCAGATGGAAAGAGGCGTTGCAGGTGGAGAGGCAGGCTGCATCCCTAGCCACAGGCCATGTTGAAGGATGAGGCTCTGGGGTTAACATTCCCTCTAGCTCCTGGGTCTGCACTTGAGATGAAAGGAGGAATCGGTAGTGGGGGATGGTGGTAGCAGTATTACTGTCACCATTTCTGGAGCCCTATGATAGAACCAGAATGTACTGACCTGTCTTGTTTCTCTTATAACGGGGAGATGGCAGACCCGGGAGTCTTTCACCAACACAGAGATGGGGCCTGAACTAGAAGGACGGGATGGTTGCCGCTGCAGCTGCTTTCTGCTGCCTTTTGCATTTTAAAGTGGATCAGTAATTTGTAAGAGTGGATGGGGAAAGGGAGAGGTCTATTGGAATTTCTTGATGAGGGGGATGTATTAGAAAAAAGCATATTCCGTATTGTGATTTTATATTGGGGATGGCACCATTGTTTTAGTACTACTTCACAGAGTAGATGTAACTTTTAAAAATGGGCAGAGGGATTACACAGAAGATACAGTGATAATGAGCCAAGAGCATGCAGATCTAGGACGGGAGTGAAAGGAGGAGAAGATGCTGTCTCGGATACACTCAGGTTGACCTCATGTTTCAGTTTGTCCAGGCAGCACTTACTGGAGCCATCAGAACAAACGGGGTAGGGACAACCCATAACAGCACTCAATGTCACTGTCTCTTTTCCTTAGTTCCCAAGAGCTCAGTTCACTTCCAGCAAGCCACAGCTCCTGGGCCTGCTTTCATTTGCAAATAGGAAATTGTGCTAGGTGCCCCTTTAGGACCGTTTGAGATGTATTGACTTAATCTTTTCCCAATGTTACCCCATCACTATTTTTGCCATTTCTTTGTGCCACTATATATGTGATCTTTTTCTTTAAACTGATTCACCTTAAATATTTACATATCCTAATCCTAAGCAGTGAATTCACAACTTTGATGAGCATGTTAAAATAAACATATGACTAAAATGATGCAGCTAGGCTCCACCTAATATTTTCTCTTATGCCTTTCTTTGGGAAGCATTATGTCATGAAAGCCACTGGGAAGTGTTTGCCCAGGTTTGAGCTGTTACTTACAGCACTGGAATTAGAACTTTGGTCTTAGCCGAATTCATTCACCAAACAATTATTTGGAGATCTGCTATCTGTTAGGGACTGCTCTGGCTCTGGGGCTAAAATAGTGAAGGAGACATGCATGATGCCTGCCTTATGTCTCCAACATCCTCATGAGCAGATAGCCAAATCCAAAAATAAAGTATGTAAAGGCAAGTAGTAAAAAGTACTATAAATGCCAAACTTCTGTCCTTTTGTTACTCCTGATTTAGCTGTATGTATATTTATGGTTGCTTTTAAACTTATGACTTACTGTGTTGTCCTAAATAAATTTATAGTCCTAAATGCCCTGGGAGAAGCCTTATTATAGTGTAGGACAGACTTTTCAGTTTAGTTATTCCCAGATGCATTAAAATACAGTAAGAATGTAACAACTTCCCCACCATTCCTTACAACTATTCAGTACCTAAAGTATATTATCTCCTTGAATCTTCACACCACTTAATGAAGACAGCAAACTTGCTGAGAAGAAATGTCTGAGAAGCACTTTATAGCTATATGTGGTGCTCTGATAGTACATTTTAAAAATGTAGGCAGTAATTTATCTACAGATATTCTCATACACGTGTGGAAGGATGATGGACAAAGAGAGCAATTAGGACACTGTAAAAGCAAGAGATTGCCTACAACATAAATGTCCATTAAATGATTTATGGTACATCACTTAATGGAATTCTACACGGTTGTTAAAAAGTGAATTTGCTCACAGGTATCTTATTGAGAAAAGCAAGGTGCAGGACATACCTTTAGTATGCATTTTTAGGTAGAAAAAAAGGAATACACATGTACAACTGTATAAGCTTTACAGATTAGATTTATATATGTACTCATGTATAAGTCTTATATGTATAATGTACATATAATACATTGCTTATTTCTGGGAGGACATGAAAGAAACTGGCAATATGGGATGTCTTTAAGGAAAAACTGGTAGGTGGGGACAGAAGTGTGAAGAAGACCTACTGGTCACTGTAGCGAGGTGTCTTAAGAGGACGTACTAGATTTAATTCAGTTCTACCACTTACCAGCTATGTGCTTTTGGGCAAATAACATAAGTCTCTCTGGGCGAGTTTCCTCAACTGTAAAACAGACATTGTCATAATAGTACCTACATCTTATAGTGCTGTCGTGAGGAAAATTACAAAAATAAGCAAGCTTTTAGAACAGTGCCTAGGCCTATAGTGAGTAGGAGGATTTTGCTACTATAGTTCTTATGTGCCCTTTGGATTTTGTGTAGTATGTAAGTATTAGCTATTGAAATAAAATAAACTATTACAGGAAGACTAATTCAGGGTAAATAACCTTTTTCTTCAAAGAATGTGAACACTGTGTGCATGTGCGTGTTTGGAATCCCAATCATTTTTGTTTCTTTATGCCATAGGGTGGCATGTGTGTTTGTAGCGGTGCGCACTGAGTTGGATCAGAGAGGTGTCTACAACCTGGCACCCCACAAGAAGAGCCTTCAGTTCTTTTATTCCACCCAGAACCTTCCTTTTTCCTGATTAGGAATGACAAAGGAGAAGCGACTGAACACACCTCTGGGGCAAACATTTATTCTCTCATTCATTCATTCTACAAATACTTATTAAGGACTCACCCTGCATCAGACTCAACAGAAAACAAAGTAAACAAGGACCCTGGCTTTAAGATCTTAACTTTCTAGAAGGAAGACACAGAGGAAGGGGATGTAATTAGATTACTACAGAGAAGAACACTGCTCTGAAGCAAACAAATCATGCTATCATACCAGAGACTAACTTACAGGAGGGCAAGGGTAAGGTGGCCCAGGATCAGGGTAGAGGTGGCTCTCTGAGGGGTGAGGCTTGAGCTGAGATCTGAATAGTGATAAAGAGCGAGTCCTATGAGGATGGGATGAAAAAGTGGAGAGAAAGTGTGCCAGACAGAAGGTAAAGGCCATGGGATGGGAATATAGAAATGAAAGGTCAGCGTGGCTGCAATCTGATTAGGAGGGGGATAGTTACCTGGACAAATATTACTTGTTAGCCTTCTTGGAGGCAGCAAACATGAAGACTGCCAGTGTGCATATTACAAAAGATTTGTAGTCAAGAAGACAATATGATTGGCTTTATGAATGGAACAAACAAACCCAGTGAGGGTTTGCTGAATATCTTTTCTCAGGCTGGTCTCCTACTCACTCCACCTTTCTCTATACCCCCATGCAGAGAAACCAAAGGTTTTCATCACTTCATTCTTTAAAACCAAATGATCAAATTCCCTTCAAGTAAGGCCTCATGTGACCACAATGCCATGAAACAGAAACTAGAGTTGAATGACATAGAAAATTTCCAAGTTGGAAGACAAGGCTGGCATCCTAGCTTTTGGAAGACCTTGAGCAGATCATTCTACATTGCTGAGCATTGTTTTCCTGAAGATTCTGGAGAACACACATGCATGAATATGAGTGGAAATTTATTCTTTAGTTTCTTGCCAGGCAACCAACAGGATGTATTGGTGGCTTGTTTGCCAGTGAACTGTTTATAGGGAGGTCAATGCCATGGCTGACAGAGGGGGGTCTGCCTTCTGCAGAGATGGTCTGCTACTCCCTGCAAATGCTCTGTCAGCTGCAGCAACATTGAGACACGCTTCTTGGGCAGGAGGAGTTGCTCCATACATGGCCTTTCCCATACATAAGGAGGCAGTTTAGAGCTCTGCTTCACGGAAACTGAAGCTGTGAGGGGGTGAGGGGCTGACCCTTGTTGGGACAGCTAACACGGATGAAGGTGTGACTGAGTGAAAAACTCCATTTCATGACCTTCAAATTTTTCTTGAGCACTCTGGACTCGGTTTAAGAGATAGACTACAAATAGAGTGAGGATGCAGCTGACCTGTGCACTCAGACTCCAAGCATATCCCTTCTCCTCTCACTTCTTTCATTTGCTTCTCTCTGTAGGATTGGTCCCTGAAGCTGGAACCATAGCTATCGGTAGCTTTGGGAAGAGAAAATCTAGTCTCTAACCTTCAAATGGAAAATGCAGGGGAAGGGCTCTGATTAGCCCAGCTAGGGCCCCATGCCCTTCCTTGGTCTATTCATGGCAGCCAATGGGATGGGACACTCTGACTGGTTGGCTGGGGCCATCTGCTCCATCGCTGCAATCAGTGCCCGTAACAGAAGGGCAGGGTCAGCAAGGACAGCAGCCGTCTCAAAGCTCTGAGCTGTGCAGGCATTGGGGCCACAGGAGCAGTGTGAGATACAATCCTTGTACTCTGGGACCTATTGCAAATGATTAGAGACAATGTTGATACTCATTTGAAGAAAGTGCAAAGCTAACCCTCAACGTGTGGGGTGGAATTTCATGGAAGGAGCAACTGTGTGTCATGGACTGGTGTGTTCAGAGATGTGAAGCCTTGGGGAAAGAGGAAGCTCTGGGTTGGTGGTGAGAAAATGGACTGTATAGTAGGAGGGAGGCCTGGCCCCTGAAAGCTCTGCAAGCCATATGGGGAACAGCAGTTGATTCTATGCCACCATAGGTTCCTTCTGCAGAAGGAGAAACAGCCAGGTCAGGAAAGCAGTGGTGAGATGGCGGAGGAGCCTCCACAGCCCAGTGAAAGGGGCTCTACTTCCTCTACCACCTTCTCTCGCAGTGATCCTCAGAGGCCTGGAGAGGGCCATGCAGATCAGTGTCCCATGTGACTCTCTAACAGGGTGCAGGGCCTCAGCATTTTGCCTGGGCTTCATTCACATTATACCAGTAGGTCTCTCAAAACACAGCGTGCATAAGACTGACAGTGGGACATGGCTAGTAGCAGGCCTCTGGACCCATCCCGGTCGGGGGAAGGGTGGGTCAGTAGGTCTGGGGAAGAAGTCTGTATTTTTAACAAGCTGCCTCAAGTGATTCTAATGTGGCTGGTGGTGCAACACACTTTGTGGGAAGTTACACAGGATGATGTCAGCGAAAGGAAGCAGGAAGAGACTTTGCTTCTCATTTGTCAAAGGCTGACTTTGGTTTGTCTGCAACAGCCGCAGCTGAGCAGTCATTTTAATTTAATGAGAAACGAGGGGAGGGGTGGGCAAAAGAAAAGCAAGTCACCTGGACAGGGAACGGGTGGGGAGAAAATGGTTGGAAAGGGGAGTCAAAAATCAGGGAAACATAGATGGAGTGAGGGGTGGGGGAAAAGAGAGAGAGAAGAAGTACGTTCAGAAAGGCCACTTTATTGATGAAGATAAAGCTGAAAGGCATTCTCCACAGCCCTCCCTCACTCACTTCAGTGGCTTCACTGGGCATCTGAGACCGGCATGGGCTGGGCTGCTCAGCCAGCTCCGTGCTTTCTGCTCCACATCAGGCGATCACATAAAAACACATCACAGCTCTTGAAGATTCACGGATGCACCTCAGAATCCCCCAAATGGTTCTTGTGCATTTTTTTTTAATATCGTACAAAATATGTTAAGTAGGAAAGGTCAGCTGTGCTGTGACATCTGTGGGATGTCCTTTTAGGATTACCATCCCCAAAACATTACTTCTTATTGCAGTGAAACCTCTAGAAGGTAGAGCTGTACAAAAAAAAAATCTAAACAATTTTAAGAAGAGCAGCAACTTAATACTGCTTTAGTTCATTTAAATTTTCTTTCTCAAAAATACATTCCTAAATATACAAACTATACAATCTTGTCATTTTAATGCTGGTTTTTTGTTTTTGTTTTTGTTTCAATAATAATAGAGCCCAAACTAAAAAATCTGATTCAATTTCAAACCAACAAGAGCACTACTGGACTTGTGACTCAGTACCTTCATATAACACCACATAAACAACTAGCCACAGTCTACGTTCACAGCGTGGTCAGTGGAACAAAGGAAATACTTTTCTGGCGATTAGACGTCATCTGCAGAGAGGGTGGGGATATTCATCCGAGGCTGGGTGAAAAACGCCATCTTCTCCCTGTGAGAGACGCCATCCCTTTAGAGCAGGGTTTTAAACTCCACTACACAGCTATTATGGGCAGCATAGTTCTTTGTTTTGTGGACTGTCCTTTACGTTATAGGACATTCAGCAATAACCCTGCCCTCCACGCACTAGATACCAATAGCACTCCCCCACCCATCCTTCTAGTTGTGACAACCAAAAATGTCCCCAGACATCGCCAAATGTCCCTGGGGGGTCCAAACTGACCTGGTTGAGAACCATTCTTTAGGAGACATTAGGAGGACCAGTCACCTTCAGTTCAAATCAGGGGTCTCTCCAGCTTTAAAAGAGCTCTCAAGCTACTTCCTGTGTGTTTTTTGTTTTGTTTTGTTTTAGATTCCCAATTAGTTAAAAATCAAGAGATGTCCAAGCATGGTTATATAAATTACAGCATATATTAAATGTTTATATTCCATAGAGGAGTACCCATACACAACCACGGGTACCTTATCTCAGAGGACATCACAAGTGTAAACACAAGGCCCTCTGAGAATGGGAGGCCTGGGCCAAATGGCATTTGCGGTCCTGCTGTGACATGCCTGGGTCCAGTACAGCAAGAAAGGACCTCCCTGAGATCCTGGAAGGAGGAGGCAGAGCCAGGGGGGGCCAGCAAGCATCCGTCACCGCCAGGCTTATTATTAATCATTCAGCCAATCCTCTGCAATTACCGGTGATGGAAACGCTAAGAGGAAAGGCCGGAGCAGGTGGCTCATCCATTAAAGAGGATCAAACAAATTAGCTCGAGTTGTGTGGGGACTGATAAGACAGCCAGGGGAAAACACTGCAAAGCTCACAGACCACCAGGGACAGCTTGGCAGAGGATGAACATCTGTTACAGAGAGAGCTGGTGCTCTGCTAGAGAACTGGGCAGGGCACAGGGAGCAGTGAGATTGAGAAAAGATGTCGCAGGCTGGGCCGGCCAGGTGCGAAAGGGAAGGCGGGCGGCCGGGCACCCACTTGCTTACCTGAAAGACTGCACTTCTGGGGGCTCCTTGCAGCTCTGGCCTCGGAGCCTGTGCACATCCTTGGCAGCTGCCCGCATCATCTTGTCTGTGTGAAGCTCACCCTTGTGCTCGGCTTGGTCCATCTGTAGGTCCAAAGCAAGCAAAGCCATGAGGGAGTAGTCCCTGAGGGCCTCGAGAAATGGGTCATCTTAGGAGAACTTTCTAGCACAGATGAGTCTACTGCAGTCAAAAGGTCTGAGGGTCAGGAGCAGGCACCTTCACTCCTCCTGTTCCAGAGGAGGATCTTCTTTATTCAGAATAATGAGAAGTGATCCCATCAGTCAGAATGGACAGGTTTAAGGGGCCAGGGAACTGGATACCTATGTGGACCTCCGGGAAATAAGGAGATGAGGGCTGACTAGTGAAATGTCTGCTACTTCTATAATCTTCAGGCTCACCTAAGAAGGTGGATTTTATAATTGCCTCTATATTACAGATGAGGAATCTGAGGCCCAGGCATGTTAAGAATTTCTTTATGTCAAACAACTAATAAGTGGTGAAAACCGAATACCTAGTCATGCTCAGGGGCTTCAGTTACATTATATAACCTTCCTCCTGATGCAAACCTATGTAAGCACCTTTGAGAATAAACCGCAAAGAGCCCTAAAATATCCATATACCATATACTTGAAAACATTGCATGATGACAGAATTTTGGTCAATGAAGCCATCATTTAAAGGGCTCTTTAGTAGAAAGTCATTATCAGACAGTCATGGATGTACTATTTTTTTTTACTATTTGAAAGGTCAGGTTATCTTAGTTGGTGTTTTCTTAAGACAGAACACATATGCACTTGTTTTCTTGCCTATTTTTACCTTGGCTACCAGGCAGCCCAAAAATAAATGTAATAGACAACTACAATTATGTTAGGGATATATTTATTTCCTTCTCTTCCTTAAAAATTTCTCTTATTTTCTACTTTCCCATAATACTCTTATTATAACCCTATTATGTCTATAGGGTATAAGTAATAAATTACAAAGAAATAAACATTTCTGGACTTTCTGGATTACCAGAGTTGGTGTGAAGCTCCAGACCCAAGAAGTCCTGCACTATTTTTCTGCTCTAAGGCATCACCACCTGCGTCAAGAGCTGAGACTTCAGCTAATGGCCCTCTTAGTAATCCAGGCAGGCACCCTCTATAAGGTGCTCTTTGCATTGTCTGGCTATGTGCAGAGAGAAATAGTAGAGGTCTGTCATCCCTGCCATGTGTGGCAACTGGGAGTGGCAGGTGTTACATAAATGAGTCAAAGATGGCCTCTGTGTATTGGCCTTCTATTGTTTACTTCCTCACCACCGTCGGCCATGGTTAGCTCAAAAGCTAATGGTGCCAAAGTCACATTTTTACCGATCTAATTGTTTTAAAATATAGCTCAAACAGATTTTTTAGCCACTTAGAACTGGCCTGCTTTCCATGGCCCATGAAGCTGTACCCAATATCTGCTAGCCACAAATAAGAGAAACCCTAGGGTTATAAAAGGTCCTGAGCTGCTGCTGCTTTGGAGCTCTTGGGCCCACAGACTCCCTGTGGTGCATGGAGAGACACCCTCCAGATGCGTAGCGCCCTCCCTCCCCCGCCCCGGCCCAGCCTGGCCCAGCCAGTTCCCTGCACCTGCTCCTTTCTAGGTAACAGTCCCTGAACAGCAGCTGCCTTCAGGAGGTGTCATGCTTGAGGACTGCCCCACATGCAAACTTGCGAAAGCAGTACCACCCAAATAAAATCCACTGTGCAAGTGCCATTCTGTGGTTCTCTCTTTTTCCTTGAGCCTCCCTGAAGTCCCTCAAACTCACTATACCAGGGCAGAGATGCAAGCAGGCTTGTATTCCTGGGCATCTTTATCAGTACAAAGCCCCACCATGATCTGCTCTTGCCCATGTTGGAGTTATATGCTCTGTGGGACTACAGAGGCAGGCACTGGGGTGGGTCAGTATTCTGTATTTACTCTAGTAAATGAGCTTACTCTGTTAAAGTGTGTGCCTCAGTGCAGACTGGGTACTGAATATGTTTGAAGAAGGACTACAAGGGTGAATAAGTGTGAATAATAAAGCTTGTACACATAAACACAGAAATGCCGCCAAGGGGCCTGGAAGCCAGGTCAAGTGTTAATAAAATCTACTGAGTAAAGGGATTCCTGGGTCCCTCTACTGATGGGAAAGAGGGGCCCTGGGAACACTCTCCCTGGGTCACAGGGCTCTAGGGCTCTCCCCTTGCAGCAGAGGATGGTCTCCAAGGCTGGGCCAGGCTGCCTCCCTTCCTCCCTGGGGCACTCACCCGCCTCTCCAGCATCCTCAGCAGCAGGCGGAAGCGCTCATCCTCACGCAACCACTGTGGTAGCTCCTTCTCCCCGTGGCTCTTGGCTTGTTCAAGCTGCTCCTTGAGCTCCTTGAGCACTGAGATCTCCTGAGTCAGTTGGCTGTGCCAGGTCCTGGTGGCCTGCAGGTCTAATTCAAGGTCCAGCGAGGTGCGGATCAGGCGCTCAGCACGCAGAGATTTGACTGACGGAGGCTGCAGGAGTGGGGATGGCTTGGGCGGGTTATTAGAGGGTCAGGTCCAATGAGCCCACACGACCCCCTCCACTGAACCTCAAATACCCTCCTTTGCTCATCTGCAGGCTTCCCATCCCTCAAAAATGGGGCTTGCCCTCCTGGCAGCTTGTCTCCATTTCTCCTGCTTCCAAGCTCATGCTTATTGAGTATTTTTACGTTCCAGGCGCAGTGCTAGGAGCTTTACTTCCATTACTTCTGTTCCTTTTCACAACAATCCTATGAAAGTCCCAACTATCATCATTTGCATGGATGAGACTCCCAGAGGTCAAGTCACATGGATTATAAGTGGTAAAGCTAAGATTCCACTGGGGGCAGTTGGCTCTAGACCCCACCCACGGGCTCCCCATACTGTCCCTGTTCCCCAACTCTCAGAGCATTCAACGTTTACACACTCGCTTTGTGAGTTCTTGCCACTATCCTACTCTGAAGTTGTTTCCTCACTGCAGGTCTGTTTTCCTTTGGGTAGATGGTTGTGTCATCTTGACTTTATGTTTGTGTAATGGACATACATATATATGTTCATGTATTGTTTCTGCTTGTCCAGCATCCTCTTCCCCAATCTTACAGTGACAGCTCCCTCCTCCTCCCTGGGAAGCCACTCCTCCTCCATGCTCAGCCCCCATGTACCATGTGGTGGTTCATGTGCGGCTTTAGGAATAAGAATGTGAACTGAATCTGGGCAATTATATTCTTAGTGAGTGCTTCACAGTTATGTTATCTAAGCTCAGCAAGAATAATTCCACTCTGGTATTTTTGCTGACCCACTAGAAAAAAGGCAGCATCTTTAAACAGCCATTGTAAGCCAGCAAGCTAAAAGCAAGAACTGATTGTGGCCATCTTTACAATCATATGGGGTGACCCTCTCTGGAGAGAGCAGTGTCATGGGAGGAAAACCGAGACTTGATGATGTTGTTTCAAATCTTGGATTAATCCATGCGTGAAGGTACTCCAATATACTGAAATTTTCCATTAAATTCCCTTTCACTCTCAAGCCATATTTCAGTTGAGTTTTTTGGTTATTTGTATGTAAAAGATCCTGAGTAATACAACCATTAACTTTATTCTCCTATCAAAAAACAGTAATGATTTAAAAAGAGTAACTAAATGACTGGGAGGCAGAATTCTAAGATGGCTCCCAAGATTCCCACCTTGTAACATACATGCCCCATATCATGCTCTCCCCTTCAGTGTACATGGGACCGGTGAGTAAGGTGGGGACCACTCCCATGATCAGGAAACAAAGTAGCTGGCTTTGAGTTAATCAAAAGGGAGATTATCCTGGGTGAGCCTGACCTAATTAGGTGAGCCCTTAAAAGCTCTCCTTCCTGGAAAGAGGTCTCCTGCTGGTCTTGAAAAAGCAATGCATGTCGTGAAGAGGGCCACATGGCCAGGACCTGAGAGTGACTTCTAGTAGCTGTGAGCAGCCCCTGGCTAGTAGAGACCAAGAAAACGCAAGGGAACGAATTCTGCCAAAGCCCTGGGGGAGCCTAGAAGTGAATCCTTTCCCGTCAAACCTCCAGATGAGGATACATTCAGTCAGCACCTAGATTTCAGCCTGGTGAGACCCTCAGCAAAGGATCCCAGCTCATCTGTGCCTGAACTTCTAACCCATGAAAACTGTGAGATAACGAATTTGTGTTGGTTTAAGCTGCTAAGTTTATGGTAATTTGTTATGCAGCAACAGAAAACAAATACAATGACCGCTAAAGGGATTTGAGAAATGTCACATAAAACATTACTATGAGACATAACCTCACTTAAGGCTGGCAAGCACACTTTTAGGAATATGAATAGCTTAGTACACAGGTTGTACAATGTTCTTCTAGGGTGACCATGGCCTAGTTTGTGCTTATAAATGAGCAGGGTTAGGAAATCCAGCTGAGTGATCTATGTGGCTCAAGCTCTCAGAGCTCAAGATTCGTTTGCTTTTCTTTGACTGATGTCCAAGCATAGAATATGCTCGTTCAGGCACAAGCAGAGAGACAAACTCAGGCAGTGGGTGGAAGAAGGACTGCCTGGCCTCTGAACCCTTCTGTCCTCAAGACATTGGTAGGACCCAAAGGAAACTTGGGTGAATTGTGTGGGGTGTGTCTTGGCAGGGAGTTGTAAGTAATGCAGGGGAAACAAGGACCTTCTCCAGAAGCTTTTCTCCAGGAATAGATCATGGAACAACTGCTCCAGACCCTTCTGAGCTTATCAAAATGCAGTTTCCAGGGCCCCACTCCAGCTGCCTGACCTAGACTGTCGGGGAGTGTGCCCTTGGAATCTGCATGGCCAACGAGCGCACCAGGAGACTCAGTGCTCCAGAGACTCTACAGCCCCAGCCAGCTACAGCAGACAGGGGTGGAGGTGGGGGACCCCTGTGGGCAGTCCTCCATCTCTGCCACCAGAGGCCATGTCCACAGTCTCCCACAGCCAGTGCTCATTCCCCTCCCTGTGCACCCTCTTCTGTATTACTTTCTTTATCCTGTACTCTCTAGTGCTTTCTGGAGACTTGAGGGGAGGGGTGGTGACAGACCGAGGACCAGCTCCCAATTTGAGCTGTCAACAGCCAACTGCTGGACACCTTCCCCCACCTGGGGCTCCTGGTTACCCTCCTTTCCCTGAGCCTTGCCTTTCACTTTGCTCTCTTTCTCTCCTGCTCTGTTTCTCTCTCTGACACTTTGGCTCCTGTTTCTTCATGTTCTGCAGGCTCACCAGAACTGCCGTGTTAAAAGGCCAATGTGGGGAAGGTTCCTCTGCATGTTCTGCAGCCCTGATTGGTAAAAGTCCATATCAGGAGCTGGTCCTTTGCCTAATGCTACTCCACCCCAATCTCTCAGCCAAGTCTCCATAAGGAAAGGTGAGATTTATCTGCAGGGACAGCATGTGGCTTCTTCCCTGTGCTCTTCCAGCTGAACTGAGAGAAGCCCATCCACACCTCCCTGCTTCCCACTGGTGCTTGGATGCATCCGGCTTCTCTGCCAGCAGGCAAGGCTGTCAGAGCCTTTAGCTACTCAGTCAGCTGGACAACACGCCTAGTAGCGTCCTGTGTGAGGTAGACTCCTAGGTGACTGTGATGTCCTGGGGTTAGTTAGTTCTCAATGACTTTGATTTCTACCCAGGAAGATAAGGCCAAGCACCTACCCTCCTGATCTAACCTATTCATCATCATCATGATGTTACATGTACCCTCTGACACCTTCTCTGGGACCTACACAGACCTTGCAGTTTACAAACATCATCACACTTGCAAGATCAACTTTCTTCATGCCAGTGGCTGAGGAGAAACAGATGTTAGGGGATGAGCTTGGGAAAGTGGGGAGGCAGGTGTACAGAGAGCTTTGAGGTGACCGCCTTACCCGCTTCACCCGGACACTGCACCGCTCCAGGGAGTTTCGAACAAAAGGTGGCTTCTTGGACAGCGTGGAGCTGTCACTATCACTACGATTCAGCTGTGGGAGAAAAGGCGTGGGAAGTTAATTAAGGTTAGTGTACATTTGGAAGGTTTCTGGGGCTGGAAGGATGGTGGGGTTCCCTGACTCAGCTCACGCCTTCCTCTCCTTGTGCAGACACCATAGTTTTTTCAGATGCTTTTGTCTAAATTGTCTTTTCACATGCTTATAAGCTCAAATGATTAAGTAGAGACTTGACACAGAAGGGAGAGGTTTACGTCATTTCTGTTCCTTGGGGACTGCATGAAGCAGGCTTCACGCCACTTTCCTTTTCTTTTGAGGTGAATATTTATTGAGCACATGCTTGGCACAATGAACTCTGACACATGCTATACATGTGGAGTCTCATTTAATCTTTCCAACAACCCATGGGAGAGAAGCACCTCCACTTTACAAATGAGGAGACAGAGGTCAGGGGTTATGGAACTTGTCCAAAGTTGGCAAGCACAGTGGGATTGACACGAGAGTGACTCCAGGGTATACTGTCCCCTATATCTACTGTGCCAAGGCCCCTGTGCATCGACTCTTCCCTGTCACCCACAGAGCCTTCTTTCATGGCACAAATGGAGCCACTGCCAAGATTTTTATTTTATATATATATATACACACATACACACACACATATATATATACACACATATTTGTATATGAGATATACATGTAATTGATACATAATAATATATAACTAATATATATCATGGGATAAGCTGGGGCAGACAGGCTCTGTGAGGGCAGAGCCGATCACAGCCCCTCAGCAGAATCCCTTCAATCACTTAGTTACTCTGTACTCCCCAGAGATACAGATTCCCCATCCACAGCCAGAGACCAGGGGTTTCTGGTCAAGGCAGGAGGCGCTTCTTCAGAGCCTGCTCTGGCAGCTGGCAGCTCACTGCTGAAGGTCTCTCCTGAGAAGCTGTTTGCATTGTCATTTTGCAGTTACTAATAATTAGTGAAAATGATATTAATTTTCCTCCAATGTTGACGAACACAGCAACCCCAGGGATGTAACTGATGAAGTGGTTACTGTACAATGCAGAGTCTCAATCAGAACCAGAAACAGAGTAGTGTCAGTAATAACAGCCAGGTGGGTGGAGCACCTACTATGTGCCATATGCTTTCATTTCAGCCTTAAATAATCCTAAAGGAGGGAATGAGGCTTTTATAAGTCATTTAGCTGGTGAGTATCAGAGAGAGATTTCAAGGTCCAGTCTGATTCCCAGGCCATGTTTTCTCCCTCAGAGACAAAACTAATACATAGATGGAGGGGTGGGCCATCTTGACTGGGGTGCTTCACACACATGGACCGGATGGATATCATACCAGACAGGGGCTTTATCCTTTTTTTATCCTTGTTTTATTCCAAAGGTGGCACTCAGAATATGTGCAATACCAACTAGAAATATGTACCAAGAGGATACAAATGCAATTTACAAAAGGTGTATTTACATCCTCCATTTAACAAATTTACAACTGCGCTTTAATCCTGATGAAAAAGAATGAATCCAACACTAATTTCTTTTGGTTTGATTTTTCTGACAAGGGACATTCTTTGTGTTTTATTTCCACTGTACTTTCATAAGGGTGATAATTTTGCCAAAAACAGAGGGTTTTATACATTATCCTAAGGGCTTTTCTAAATCCTTCAAATTATTCACATATGAGACATAGGTTATATTTTTCTCCTCTTCAGCTGTGAGCTGGCTTAACTGCAGGATTCTTCACCCATGATTCATGAATTCCCCAACATCAAAATCACATTCAGTGGCTTTAGGAAACCCTGAACTTTCTGTGAGATATGCAGCTAATATGCACAGTGCTTACACTGTCTTTTCAGATGCTTACAAGCTCAAATGATTAACGAGAGACTTGACACAGAAGGGAGGGGCTTATGTTATTTCTGAGAGAGACTGCAGGGTATGTTTTTGTGTGGACTAATTTGATGAGCCGGTAAAGTAGGGAAACTCTCATGTTTATGAAAAAATTAGCTTCTCTAACTCCATCTTAAAATTGTAGGCCTTGGATACTGAATATCAGATAGTGAAAATGCCCTTCAGTATCCTCCTCCACCAATAACAATACATAGGTAGGTGACAGGTTGATGATGTAGGGAGGCTCCATGGGTCTCCCCTTCTGTGATCACTTATGGGAACACAAGGCAGGAAGGTTCTGTTTATGCTTCTCATTATTGTCCACTGGTTCTGTAGGGTGGAGAGTAAGGAAGGATGTTGACCCATCATTTAAGTCCAGGACTCAGGGAAAGTGTGCATGTGCCCCATCCATGCCATCCCCAAGGAAGGTTGCAACAGGCCTGGTTCTACAGCCCTAGCAACCAGCATGAGTCCTCATATGTGGTTTTAAGTGCTCGAATGCTCCTTTCATGGCAGAATGAAAGAAAGGGGCTGGCCTAGGAAGGGGTAGACTAATTGGGTAGCAAGGTAAGGGTATCAAAGGCTTACTTCAGGGCTTCTAAATTCCAGGGAGGCCTGCAAGAGCACACTGGCAACCAAAATAGGTAAAGAGGGCCAGGTGGCCAAGGGAACATGAAAGCCCCCTGCCCTCCAGTCATCAAGGACAGTGGCCCCACTGCTTAGCTCTAGCCAGCTGCTGCCAAGAGAAAACAAGGCTCATGGTGCCAGGCAGTATCTTTTTTCAAGAGAAACTGGGATTTTATGTGAAACTTTTTCATTCTTACTTTTCTTAAATTTTCAATGTTAGAGACAAATTCAACTAAAAAGAAACCAAACAAACCTGGGACTAACACAGGCCTGTTGCTGCTTTGTGACCTCAGGCATCACTCCAGATGACAGCGAGGGGTCAGTCTCATCTCACCAAGTGGTCGTGTGGAAGGGAGGGCAGGGTGTGAGGAGGGGAGAGTTGGTTGGAATTATAAAATAAACACCGGCCATCTACTGCTTACTGAGCCTTTTCCATACTTTCTCTAATTCAGTCCTTAAAACAATCCTTCAAAGTCAGTCTGTCAACCCCACGTGAGGAAACTGAAGTTGGTCTAGTGACTCCACGTGAGGTGAGATGTTCACTTGCCCGGGGACACCTGACAAGGTGAGCATAAAAGGGATTTGCACTTAGAGCAGTGGTGAGGCTGAAGGCTCTGAGCTGCTCCATGGGAAGCAGGCGTTTGGGAGGAGGAAGGCACTGTGTATTTGCTTACCCGGCACACATACTGGCTCTGGGGTCCAGGAGAGAAGGTCTTAGAGCGGATGATAGTGCTCCCTCGAAGAAATGGCCCTGGGGATGGCGTGCCCACCCGCCGGTCCTTGGGTCGCACCACTGTGGGAGATGGGGCCAGGGTCTCTGTGTTAGTCTCTTTGTCCACCTGAGGAAGAAGTCACAGTTTTGAGGCCACCAGCGTCCACAGGGTCTCAGCAGCCCACCTGAGAGTCACGGGCAGACTCCCTGGCTGCTCCCCACTCCTGTCACCTCATTTTTGGCCCACAGACACAGCTAGGAGCTTCCTCAGCCCAGCCCTACGCAGCCAGCACAGTGCTCAAGGCCCAGAGTGCCAGCCCTTTTCCTCCATGACACTTGTGGGTTGGGACTAGTGAGCGCATGTTCAGTCCCCAAAGGTGAGTTCAGATGAGCAGAGAGGTGCCTCACAGATGTCCTGGACTTCGCACCCTCAAGGCTTATGCCAATCACATTTTAACAAAGCCATACCTAAGGCTTCCATGGCTTCAGCCCAGAACTGCAGGTACTTTTTTAGAATTATGGAGGCAACCATAATTCATGCTTTTTAAACTAGGTGATCAAGGCTTCTACCATCCTTTCACAAGCCTCCAGTAAAAGATAACAAACAAGAACACTTAAACACAGGGCCCCTGTTAGCCTTAACAGTGCCTCTGTGTGTTTTGGAAAAGGCTCCCCCCTTTGGCTGCAGAAACTGCAGAAAGACTTCCCCTATGTGTGGTGCAGCTAGAAGGTGGCCCCAGGTTCTTCTCCAGCCCCCTTTGGCTAGGCACCTGTGTGCAATGCATACCCTGCAGCCCCACCTCCAACTGCCCTGTTCAAACACAATGGGGTACTCTATTTCTTGCAGTTGGAAAGAACACAGAGATCTCTATGGAGAGTGAATTCTGTTAAAACATGTAACCCCAGTGCAGCAGGGAAGCAGGAGGCAAGGGGAACTTGACTGGATACTCTTCCTATTGTACTTTGGGCAGAACAAAATAAATACATTCCTTCAAAACCTTAGAACCTGTCTGCAAGGTGGGTATCATTGTGTCCATTTTAGAGATGAAGACATCAAAGCTCAAGAGGGATGAAGTCATCTGCTTAAGACTACACAGCTAGTGAGTAGCAAAGCTAGCATTTGAACCCAGATCCACGTGACCAGAAAGCCTGGGGTCTGTCCAAAGAAACAGGGGAACCTGCAAAGGGCAGGCAAGGTGAGCAGTGAGTCAGCTTCTCCTAGTTTACTGTCACCGAGTACAGGCAGGGACACCCCTATACAACCTTCTGCAGGTCACATCTCATTCAGAGGGCCTGTCCCCTGATTGCTGCAGGACAAGACTTAACCTTTTCTGACTGGGCTCAAGGACTGAGGGCTACATCCACGAGAAAGCCTTGCCCGTCTCCCCGGCCCTCCCTACCTTTAATGCTGGGCACTCGCCCACATCCGGTGAGGTTTTCTCAGCGGGTATGCCCTCCTCCCCCTCCTCCTCTGCGGCCACCTCGTTCTCGCTGATCTCGCAGCCCCTGTGAGGACAAACCGCTTTGGTTAGTCACCCCAGAGGCTACTCTGATGTCTTTAAGTACATCCAGCGCAGGGATTCCTAACCTTCAGGATGAAGGACACATTTCTTTTTAAAAACATCCTTTTTATTAAGGTATAATTTGCATACAACAAAACACGTTTTTTATCTACTCTGATGAGTTTCAACCAATGTATTCTGCTGTGTAACCACCACCACATTCAAGATACAGAACATTCCATTACCTTGAAAGGTTCCCTGTACCTTTCCCAGTTCATCTCTCCCCACCCAGCCCACCACTGCTGAGCATTCTGTCACTACAGATTAAATCTGATTTTTCTAGTGTTTCATGTAAATGCAATCAGTATATGCTCTTTTGTCTCTGGCTTCATTTTCTCAGTGTAATGTTTCTGCTGTTCATCCATGTTGGGTCATGTATCAATAGTTCACTCCACTTTATCACTGAGTACTGTTCCGCTGGATGAACAGAGCATAATTTGTTTAGCTATTCATCAGGTGATATACATTCGGATTGTTTCCATTTCTTAGCAATTATAAATAAAGCTTCTATATTCACTTCCTAGTCTGTGCAGATACAGGTTTTCACTTCTCTTGGATACTATACTAGTTTGTTCAGGCTGCCATAACCCAAGACCACAGACTGGGAAGCTTAAATAGATATTTATTTCTCACAGTTCTGGAGGCTAAAAATCCAAGATCAGGGTATAAGCAGGTTTGGTTTCCTCTGAGGCCCATCTCTGTGGCTTGCAGATGGCCACCTTCATGCTGTGTCCTGACACGTATCCAAACACCCTCTTATAAGGGTATCAGTCATTTTGGATTAGGGCCCACCTTAACTTTTGACAGCCTCTTGTTAACTTGATCATTTCTTTGAAAGTCCTATCTCCAGAAAACAGTCACATTCTGAGGTACTGGGGTCAAAGTTTCAACAAACATATACCCCGGAGCAGAGCTGCTAGGCCATACAGTGTCAGTTTATCCTTTTAAGAAACTGGCCTCTGCCATTTTACATTCCCATCAGCAATGTAAGAATACCACCAGTTCCTCATCTACACTTGGCATTGTTGGTCTAGTCATTCTATTGGATGTGTACTCGTATCTCATTGTGGTTTTAATTCACACTTTGCTGTTGAGAATCTGTTCCTGCATTTGTTGATCATTCATGTTTTCTTTGGCAAAGTGTCTGTTACAATCTTTAGCCCATTTAAAAATTCACTTGTCTTTTTATTATCAAGTTCATTATATAGTCCAGATATGAATCACTGTATTTTCTCCAAGTCTGTGGCTTGCCTTTTTATTTTCTAAATGGTATATTCCAAAGACAGAAGCTTTTGATTGTGATAAAGTCCATGTATCAATTTCTTTCTTTCATCATTTCTGCTTTTTCTGTCCTAAAAAAAATCTTTTGAGAAATCTTTGCCTATTCCAGAATTGCAAAGAATTCTTCCTATATTTTCTTTAAGTTTCAGCTTTTATGTTTAGCTCTATGATCCATTTCAGATTAATTTTTGTACATGATGCTCAAAGTTTGTTTTTTTTTCATTTATGGATTTCCAATGGTGCTCTGGCACCATTTAATGATGAGTCTTTGTTTTTGGTCATATTCTTCATAATTATCCTTTCCCCTTGGACTTCAGGGTTGGGAGGAGTTGATATAACAAATGGACTGTATTGCTAATTAGTTACCTTATCTCTATTCCCATCGTTACTTCTCAGAGACATATATAACCACCAAGCTTCTGATCAGTATGAGGCAGCATTGCCACATGGAATGGATGCATGTCAGTCAAAAGCAGAGAATCTGACATCTAGTTAGTTGACTCAGTGAGACCGTGGACAAACATCAGATCTCCCTTAGGATTTTCCCAGCAGGAAGAACAGATCTTGAGTCACCACCCCAGCTCTGAGACTACAATCTCCCCTGTGTTGAGATGTGTGTAACCACATTGGAGGGGCCTTTTCTCTCCCCCTTCTTTGCCCCCACAGCCTCTTGATCTATTCTTAAAATAGCTATTAAACATGGGAACACAAAAGGAGCACCTCTGAAGAATTTTGCAGACACATTAGCCTGCATTTATCAAAGGCTTAATAAGTTACGTGCACTACGCCAAGGCCTTACAACCACACTGTAGCCAATTCCTGTCTCCATTTTACAGATTCAAAAGCTGAGGATCAGAGAGTTGATGGCCTTGTGCAGTGTCACAAGTGGTGCAGCCAGGTTTCCATTCCAAGTGTGTCCAACTTCACTAAGCAAGAGACTATCAAAGTCTCTTCTTATTGAATGTGACTCTGATTAAAGTATTTCTGGAAAGGAAAATAATCTCAATGGTGAAGAGAAAACTAATGAAAGCAAACAACATCTTTTCATCCTTTGGAATGCCCCTTTCCTCCAAAAAATGTATTTCCTCCAAAAAAAAATATATATATACACACACTCATACATATATCTGATAATACCAAGAGCTGGGGAAGGTATAGCAAATAGGCACATCCCTGTGGGGAATGTAGATTAGAGCAGCCAATTTACACTGTGAAGTCAATTTAACGGTATTTGCTAAAAATGTACGTATTACTGATTAAGTACTATAGTTTGATTATATTCAAAGTCAGAGGGTGTAGGTTTGGGGGTACTCTTATCACTGTGGGTAGGAGCCTTCACTAGTACAATCTTGTTTGAGAACTATTTCACAATGCCTATTAAGATATAAAACACTCATTCCCTGGGACCCAGCAATGCCACTTCTCAACCTCTGCTCTAGGCAAATACATGCAAGTTCCCCAGGAGGCAAATACAAGGATTTTTACTCTGTAATTGTTTGTGATTATATTCTTTTATATTTTCTAATACTCTTAAGAGTTTTGTTTTGCTTGTGGATCTTAAAAAAAAAACACCAACCCAGTCTTCTTATTATATGCGCTAAAGAAACCTAAACAAATAAAAGGAGGAGATAACAATGGCACTCTGGGCCTTGGGTGCCGAGGGAGAGGGAGTGTACATTAGAACAGAAGACCAGTCTTTTGGAGACATCCACACATGCCTCCAGAGCTAAGCAGGCACAGCAAAGCTAGTTAACATTCCAGGACCAAAAGAAGCGTCCAGTCTGGGGGAGGGGGTGGGATGCAGATAGATTTACCCCCATATAGCAGCGCTGGGATTCCCAGCCCTCTTTGTATGTCAGTGTCTAGGGGAGTTTGAATGGCGAGGGGTGGGGAAACAGGGGGCCACAAAAGGAAAGAGAACAGAAGGTGGTTGCTAGGAGACAGTGTGAAAAGTCTCAACACAAGCTTGGAATTTGGCGGAAACCACTGATCTTGTGCCAGGGTTTTAGAAGACAGGTCCTGGGCCTGCTTCCGGCATCAGACCTTGCTGATGTGAATCACAGCACAGCCCCATAGTATGCCAGGGAAAAGCTGGTGAGTATCAGAGAGAGATTTCAAGGTCCAGTCTGATTCCCAGGCCATGTTTTCTCCCTCAGAGACAAAACTAATACATAGATGGAGGGGTGGGCCATCTTGACTGGGGTGCTTCACACACATGGACCGGATGGATATCATACCAGACAGGGGCTTTATCCTTTTTTTATCCTTGTTTTATTCCAAAGGTGGCACTCAGAATATGTGCAATACCAACTAGAAATATGTACCAAGAGGATACAAATGCAATTTACAAAAGGTGTATTTACATCCTCCATTTAACAAATTTACAACTGCGCTTTAATCCTGATGAAAAAGAATGAATCCAACACTAATTTCTTTTGGTTTGATTTTTCTGACAAGGGACATTCTTTGTGTTTTATTTCCACTGTACTTTCATAAGGGTGATAATTTTGCCAAAAACAGAGGGTTTTATACATTATCCTAAGGGCTTTTCTAAATCCTTCAAATTATTCACATATGAGACATAGGTTATATTTTTCTCCTCTTCAGCTGTGAGCTGGCTTAACTGCAGGATTCTTCACCCATGATTCATGAATTCCCCAACATCAAAATCACATTCAGTGGCTTTAGGAAACCCTGAACTTTCTGTGAGATATGCAGCTAATATGCACAGTGCTTACACTGTCTTTTCAGATGCTTACAAGCTCAAATGATTAACGAGAGACTTGACACAGAAGGGAGGGGCTTATGTTATTTCTGAGAGAGACTGCAGGGTATGTTTTTGTGTGGACTAATTTGATGAGCCGGTAAAGTAGGGAAACTCTCATGTTTATGAAAAAATTAGCTTCTCTAACTCCATCTTAAAATTGTAGGCCTTGGATACTGAATATCAGATAGTGAAAATGCCCTTCAGTATCCTCCTCCACCAATAACAATACATAGGTAGGTGACAGGTTGATGATGTAGGGAGGCTCCATGGGTCTCCCCTTCTGTGATCACTTATGGGAACACAAGGCAGGAAGGTTCTGTTTATGCTTCTCATTATTGTCCACTGGTTCTGTAGGGTGGAGAGTAAGGAAGGATGTTGACCCATCATTTAAGTCCAGGACTCAGGGAAAGTGTGCATGTGCCCCATCCATGCCATCCCCAAGGAAGGTTGCAACAGGCCTGGTTCTACAGCCCTAGCAACCAGCATGAGTCCTCATATGTGGTTTTAAGTGCTCGAATGCTCCTTTCATGGCAGAATGAAAGAAAGGGGCTGGCCTAGGAAGGGGTAGACTAATTGGGTAGCAAGGTAAGGGTATCAAAGGCTTACTTCAGGGCTTCTAAATTCCAGGGAGGCCTGCAAGAGCACACTGGCAACCAAAATAGGTAAAGAGGGCCAGGTGGCCAAGGGAACATGAAAGCCCCCTGCCCTCCAGTCATCAAGGACAGTGGCCCCACTGCTTAGCTCTAGCCAGCTGCTGCCAAGAGAAAACAAGGCTCATGGTGCCAGGCAGTATCTTTTTTCAAGAGAAACTGGGATTTTATGTGAAACTTTTTCATTCTTACTTTTCTTAAATTTTCAATGTTAGAGACAAATTCAACTAAAAAGAAACCAAACAAACCTGGGACTAACACAGGCCTGTTGCTGCTTTGTGACCTCAGGCATCACTCCAGATGACAGCGAGGGGTCAGTCTCATCTCACCAAGTGGTCGTGTGGAAGGGAGGGCAGGGTGTGAGGAGGGGAGAGTTGGTTGGAATTATAAAATAAACACCGGCCATCTACTGCTTACTGAGCCTTTTCCATACTTTCTCTAATTCAGTCCTTAAAACAATCCTTCAAAGTCAGTCTGTCAACCCCACGTGAGGAAACTGAAGTTGGTCTAGTGACTCCACGTGAGGTGAGATGTTCACTTGCCCGGGGACACCTGACAAGGTGAGCATAAAAGGGATTTGCACTTAGAGCAGTGGTGAGGCTGAAGGCTCTGAGCTGCTCCATGGGAAGCAGGCGTTTGGGAGGAGGAAGGCACTGTGTATTTGCTTACCCGGCACACATACTGGCTCTGGGGTCCAGGAGAGAAGGTCTTAGAGCGGATGATAGTGCTCCCTCGAAGAAATGGCCCTGGGGATGGCGTGCCCACCCGCCGGTCCTTGGGTCGCACCACTGTGGGAGATGGGGCCAGGGTCTCTGTGTTAGTCTCTTTGTCCACCTGAGGAAGAAGTCACAGTTTTGAGGCCACCAGCGTCCACAGGGTCTCAGCAGCCCACCTGAGAGTCACGGGCAGACTCCCTGGCTGCTCCCCACTCCTGTCACCTCATTTTTGGCCCACAGACACAGCTAGGAGCTTCCTCAGCCCAGCCCTACGCAGCCAGCACAGTGCTCAAGGCCCAGAGTGCCAGCCCTTTTCCTCCATGACACTTGTGGGTTGGGACTAGTGAGCGCATGTTCAGTCCCCAAAGGTGAGTTCAGATGAGCAGAGAGGTGCCTCACAGATGTCCTGGACTTCGCACCCTCAAGGCTTATGCCAATCACATTTTAACAAAGCCATACCTAAGGCTTCCATGGCTTCAGCCCAGAACTGCAGGTACTTTTTTAGAATTATGGAGGCAACCATAATTCATGCTTTTTAAACTAGGTGATCAAGGCTTCTACCATCCTTTCACAAGCCTCCAGTAAAAGATAACAAACAAGAACACTTAAACACAGGGCCCCTGTTAGCCTTAACAGTGCCTCTGTGTGTTTTGGAAAAGGCTCCCCCCTTTGGCTGCAGAAACTGCAGAAAGACTTCCCCTATGTGTGGTGCAGCTAGAAGGTGGCCCCAGGTTCTTCTCCAGCCCCCTTTGGCTAGGCACCTGTGTGCAATGCATACCCTGCAGCCCCACCTCCAACTGCCCTGTTCAAACACAATGGGGTACTCTATTTCTTGCAGTTGGAAAGAACACAGAGATCTCTATGGAGAGTGAATTCTGTTAAAACATGTAACCCCAGTGCAGCAGGGAAGCAGGAGGCAAGGGGAACTTGACTGGATACTCTTCCTATTGTACTTTGGGCAGAACAAAATAAATACATTCCTTCAAAACCTTAGAACCTGTCTGCAAGGTGGGTATCATTGTGTCCATTTTAGAGATGAAGACATCAAAGCTCAAGAGGGATGAAGTCATCTGCTTAAGACTACACAGCTAGTGAGTAGCAAAGCTAGCATTTGAACCCAGATCCACGTGACCAGAAAGCCTGGGGTCTGTCCAAAGAAACAGGGGAACCTGCAAAGGGCAGGCAAGGTGAGCAGTGAGTCAGCTTCTCCTAGTTTACTGTCACCGAGTACAGGCAGGGACACCCCTATACAACCTTCTGCAGGTCACATCTCATTCAGAGGGCCTGTCCCCTGATTGCTGCAGGACAAGACTTAACCTTTTCTGACTGGGCTCAAGGACTGAGGGCTACATCCACGAGAAAGCCTTGCCCGTCTCCCCGGCCCTCCCTACCTTTAATGCTGGGCACTCGCCCACATCCGGTGAGGTTTTCTCAGCGGGTATGCCCTCCTCCCCCTCCTCCTCTGCGGCCACCTCGTTCTCGCTGATCTCGCAGCCCCTGTGAGGACAAACCGCTTTGGTTAGTCACCCCAGAGGCTACTCTGATGTCTTTAAGTACATCCAGCGCAGGGATTCCTAACCTTCAGGATGAAGGACACATTTCTTTTTAAAAACATCCTTTTTATTAAGGTATAATTTGCATACAACAAAACACGTTTTTTATCTACTCTGATGAGTTTCAACCAATGTATTCTGCTGTGTAACCACCACCACATTCAAGATACAGAACATTCCATTACCTTGAAAGGTTCCCTGTACCTTTCCCAGTTCATCTCTCCCCACCCAGCCCACCACTGCTGAGCATTCTGTCACTACAGATTAAATCTGATTTTTCTAGTGTTTCATGTAAATGCAATCAGTATATGCTCTTTTGTCTCTGGCTTCATTTTCTCAGTGTAATGTTTCTGCTGTTCATCCATGTTGGGTCATGTATCAATAGTTCACTCCACTTTATCACTGAGTACTGTTCCGCTGGATGAACAGAGCATAATTTGTTTAGCTATTCATCAGGTGATATACATTCGGATTGTTTCCATTTCTTAGCAATTATAAATAAAGCTTCTATATTCACTTCCTAGTCTGTGCAGATACAGGTTTTCACTTCTCTTGGATACTATACTAGTTTGTTCAGGCTGCCATAACCCAAGACCACAGACTGGGAAGCTTAAATAGATATTTATTTCTCACAGTTCTGGAGGCTAAAAATCCAAGATCAGGGTATAAGCAGGTTTGGTTTCCTCTGAGGCCCATCTCTGTGGCTTGCAGATGGCCACCTTCATGCTGTGTCCTGACACGTATCCAAACACCCTCTTATAAGGGTATCAGTCATTTTGGATTAGGGCCCACCTTAACTTTTGACAGCCTCTTGTTAACTTGATCATTTCTTTGAAAGTCCTATCTCCAGAAAACAGTCACATTCTGAGGTACTGGGGTCAAAGTTTCAACAAACATATACCCCGGAGCAGAGCTGCTAGGCCATACAGTGTCAGTTTATCCTTTTAAGAAACTGGCCTCTGCCATTTTACATTCCCATCAGCAATGTAAGAATACCACCAGTTCCTCATCTACACTTGGCATTGTTGGTCTAGTCATTCTATTGGATGTGTACTCGTATCTCATTGTGGTTTTAATTCACACTTTGCTGTTGAGAATCTGTTCCTGCATTTGTTGATCATTCATGTTTTCTTTGGCAAAGTGTCTGTTACAATCTTTAGCCCATTTAAAAATTCACTTGTCTTTTTATTATTGAGTTCATTATATAGTCCAGATATGAATCACTGTATTTTCTCCAAGTCTGTGGCTTGCCTTTTTATTTTCTAAATGGTATATTCCAAAGACAGAAGCTTTTGATTGTGATAAAGTCCATGTATCAATTTCTTTCTTACATCATTTCTGCTTTTTCTGTCCTAAAAAAAATCTTTTGAGAAATCTTTGCCTATTCCAGAATTGCAAAGAATTCTTCCTATATTTTCTTTAAGTTTCAGCTTTTATGTTTAGCTCTATGATCCATTTCAGATTAATTTTTGTACATGATGCTCAAAGTTTGTTTTTTTTTCATTTATGGATTTCCAATGGTCCTCTGGCACCATTTAATGATGAGTCTTTGTTTTTGGTCATATTCTTCATAATTATCCTTTCCCCTTGGACTTCAGGGTTGGGAGGAGTTGATATAACAAATGGACTGTATTGCTAATTAGTTACCTTATCTCTATTCCCATCGTTACTTCTCAGAGACATGTATAACCACCAAGCTTCTGATCAGTATGAGGCAGCATTGCCACATGGAATGGATGCATGTCAGTCAAAAGCAGAGAATCTGACATCTAGTTAGTTGACTCAGTGAGACCGTGGACAAACATCAGATCTCCCTTAGGATTTTCCCAGCAGGAAGAACAGATCTTGAGTCACCACCCCAGCTCTGAGACTACAATCTCCCCTGTGTTGAGATGTGTGTAACCACATTGGAGGGGCCTTTTCTCTCCCCCTTCTTTGCCCCCACAGCCTCTTGATCTATTCTTAAAATAGCTATTAAACATGGGAACACAAAAGGAGCACCTCTGAAGAATTTTGCAGACACATTAGCCTGCATTTATCAAAGGCTTAATAAGTTACGTGCACTACGCCAAGGCCTTACAACCACACTGTAGCCAATTCCTGTCTCCATTTTACAGATTCAAAAGCTGAGGATCAGAGAGTTGATGGCCTTGTGCAGTGTCACAAGTGGTGCAGCCAGGTTTCCATTCCAAGTGTGTCCAACTCCACTAAGCAAGAGACTATCAAAGTCTCTTCTTATTGAATGTGACTCTGATTAAAGTATTTCTGGAAAGGAAAATAATCTCAATGGTGAAGAGAAAACTAATGAAAGCAAACAACATCTTTTCATCCTTTGGAATGCCCCTTTCCTCCAAAAAATGTATTTCCTCCAAAAAAAAATATATATATACACACACTCATACATATATCTGATAATACCAAGAGCTGGGGAAGGTATAGCAAATAGGCACATCCCTGTGGGGAATGTAGATTAGAGCAGCCAATTTACACTGTGAAGTCAATTTAACGGTATTTGCTAAAAATGTACGTATTACTGATTAAGTACTATAGTTTGATTATATTCAAAGTCAGAGGGTGTAGGTTTGGGGGTACTCTTATCACTGTGGGTAGGAGCCTTCACTAGTACAATCTTGTTTGAGAACTATTTCACAATGCCTATTAAGATATAAAACACTCATTCCCTGGGACCCAGCAATGCCACTTCTCAACCTCTGCTCTAGGCAAATACATGCAAGTTCCCCAGGAGGCAAATACAAGGATTTTTACTCTGTAATTGTTTGTGATTATATTCTTTTATATTTTCTAATACTCTTAAGAGTTTTGTTTTGCTTGTGGATCTTAAAAAAAAAACACCAACCCAGTCTTCTTATTATATGCGCTAAAGAAACCTAAACAAATAAAAGGAGGAGATAACAATGGCACTCTGGGCCTTGGGTGCCGAGGGAGAGGGAGTGTACATTAGAACAGAAGACCAGTCTTTTGGAGACATCCACACATGCCTCCAGAGCTAAGCAGGCACAGCAAAGCTAGTTAACATTCCAGGACCAAAAGAAGCGTCCAGTCTGGGGGAGGGGGTGGGATGCAGATAGATTTACCCCCATATAGCAGCGCTGGGATTCCCAGCCCTCTTTGTATGTCAGTGTCTAGGGGAGTTTGAATGGCGAGGGGTGGGGAAACAGGGGGCCACAAAAGGAAAGAGAACAGAAGGCGGTTGCTAGGAGACAGTGTGAAAAGTCTCAACACAAGCTTGGAATTTGGCGGAAACCACTGATCTTGTGCCAGGGTTTTAGAAGACAGGTCCTGGGCCTGCTTCCGGCATCAGACCTTGCTGATGTGAATCACAGCACAGCCCCATAGTATGCCAGGGAAAGGGGGAGAGAAAAGAAGGGAGAATGGAGGGCAGGGAGACAGGAGAGAATGAGAGGGTGGGACAGAGGAAGGAAGGAAGGAGTTGAAAGAAATTGTGACAATTCAGAGAGAACCTGAAAACAAACAAATGAACACAGAAAAATTCAGGAACCTTGCCATGCCCTTTATCACATGGAGGAATAGTAAAAGAGAGGAGCACAAGAGGGGTCAGTCTGTGGGCCAAATCCAGTTCACTGCCTGTTTTGGACTATGAATGGTTTTTATATTTTCAAAGGTCAGGACAAAAAAAGGTGAGTGGTTATTTCATGATTTGTGCAAATTATGTGAAATCCACAGTTCAGTGTCTATCAATGACATTTCAATGACAGAGACACAGCGGTTGGTATATATACACTCTCTGGCTGCCTTCATACCCCAACAGCAGGGTTTTGGAGATGGAACAGAATCCATATGGCCCACAGAGCAGACATTGACTATCTGGCCCTTTCCAGAAAACATTTGCTGACTGACCCCTGGAGTAAAAGATATTAATGAAAGACTCCTCCTGAGACCTAATGTATAATCTGTACAAGAATAATGCAGAACAGTGATTGAGTGCTTCCTGGGTGGGTCAGGGTCTGTGTTAAGTGCTAACATTCATAGTTTTTTTTGAGTCTATGAAAAGCTCCATTTGTAGTGGTTGTTTAAAAAAATTTTTTTTATTGAGGTATTATTAATAAACACTCTTATGAAGGTTCCACATGAAAAAACAATGTGGTTACTACATTCACCCATATTATCGAGTCCCCTCCATGCCCACTGCAATCACTGTCTATCAGTGTAGTAAGATGTATAGTGGCTGTTTTTTTAATCTGTACTTCACAAACGAAGAAGTGGGGGTTTAGAGCCATAGTTCTCAGCCCCGGCTGCATATTAAAATTACCCAGGGAGCTTTTAAAACTTATGGTGCTCAGGCCTCACCCAGACCTAAAATCCCATAGGAAACTGGCTGGGCAAGACTCTGAATCCTATCTGTTTGAATTCAGAGCACGTCACTTAATGCACTGTGGCAAGATTCATCAGCTGTGGTCATTTCCAGATGAGACTTGCCTTTTCCCTTTCTAGCAATGTTCCTTCCCATTTTCCTAATGATAGTTTCTACCATCTACTGAGTGTCTACCTACTACAAGCTTTGCACTTCACCTTCATTAGTGGTTTTTCCTCCAGTCCCTTCCGATAACCCTATGCAGTTGATTCTACTGTTCACCTGAGGCTCAGACAAGGTTAGAATGACTTGCCAAATAGTGGCTACCCTGGAGATGGAGGGTAGCGGCCTGGAGGAAGCTTGGTATGGGCCTCTGAATGCTGGCAGTGTATGGCTCCCTGGTCTGGATGCCGGGTGCTGCAGGGGTAGTTTGGTTTCTGAAATTTCACCAAGCTGTATGCTTAAGTGAACTTTTCTGTAAGTATGCATTACTGCGATGAAAAGTTAAAAATGTTTTGCCGAAGGTTCACACAGAAAATGATAAAGCTTTGAACCCTAGTCTACATCATTGTTGCCTAAAGCATGTAATGAGATCTGTCAGGAGACAAGGACTAAAGAGTCACGTGGTGAGAAAGTAGTTTCCTGTCTCATTCCTTCAGACCTCCTGACTACATCAAGGAGAGAGTCTCTCTCTCTCTGATGGAAGCATGTCTTTAACATTGCTGAAACACCAACTAAACTTCCTTTTTAACACTGGAGAGACCACCTCAGGCCTACAGCCTTAGCAAGCAATTTATCTAGCTAGACTTTAATTCTTCTGTTTTATTTTCATTACATTTAATTTTCAACAGTTACCTTCTGAGGCAGATTTGGCTCATGGCCTACCCAGCATCCATTCACACTTCTTCCTTAATCATAAAATCCTAATTTTTTAACCCAATTAACAGACCTCATTTCCCAGCTTCTCATGTAGTTAGGCAGGCCATGTCGCTAAGCTCAGCCAATGAGAATCAAGCAGAAATTGCTGGGTGGGACTTTAAGAATGTTCCTTGGTTAAAAAGCACATAGGCACACTTTTTTGCTTTTCCTCTTTGCTGATGCCTGACGGCTAGGTGACGCAGCAGTCATTTGGGGCTCTAAAAGCAGCCCCTCTACGATGGAGGTCAAGACAGCAAAGCAGAAAGAGAGGAGGAGCTTGGGTTCACAGTAGCACCATGGAAATGACAGATGATCCTTGGATTGCCACCTCCCTTTTTTCTTAAGTAAGAAATAAACTTCTATTTTATTTAAACCTATTATTTCCAGTCTCTCTTCCCAGTCAAATGTAATTCCTTGCTGGAGAATCTTCAATTTATGGTAAATTATACTAATTATCCATTTATAGTAATATAAAGCTTAATTTTTTTAACCAAAACAAACATAATGGCATCAAGACAGTAATATAAGATGTGAACTGGCAGGAATGATTCATAGGACACAAAATGATAGACTGGGAAAGAATTTTGGGAACCACTGTACCACGCTGTATATATATTGCCTCGTTGCCTGTAGAAAACTCATGAGGAGAGAGGCTCTCAGTTTCCCAGAGGGACATTTTTCTTGAACGTCCCGGTGTTTGGGGATCTCCTTCCTGGGTCCAGTCCAAGCCAGGTCAGCAGCTGAGGCCCAAGGGAGCCCTCGCTTACCAGCTGTCTTCCAGGGTCTGTGCACCACTCCTCCTCTCCTGCCTCCTCTCCAGCTCCACTGCCGTCTGTTCCAGCAGAGCAGATACTGCATCCTGTGGAGACAAAGGCCGATGCATTTATTTGTCCACCATGGCAAGAATCAAAAGATTCTTAAGAGTGTGACCCTCCCAATGAACAGAGGGTAAGACTGACTGGAGTGGGGAAGAGTCTACCCAAGCTCACTTATAATTGGAGATATGGTGCTTAGTTCTTCTACCTGGCAGTTCTCCTAAGAATAGCCTCTGCATGCATGGGGAATTCTGCAAGACAGCCAAGATTATTTGTTGAGTGAGACAGGTTTATGGGTTTCTGGCTGTAAAGAGATTTCAGTATATCCAGGAAGACCATCACATGAACTATCAATAACAAAATGACGTGAAAAAGACTGTAAGTATTGGATGTCTGAGAACAGAGGAGCAGTGGCATAGCTAGCCTGGGAGGTTGCATTCAGGGAAGGCTTCCTGGAAGAACATCATCTATACTAAACGGTATCTACAGTCACTACAGTGACTTGAGGAAATTATTTGCCTTTCTGAGACTGTTCCCTCTGACAACTGCTACAAGGGGTTGTTATGAAGATTGAGAATATATACATAAGGAATGCAGAGAGTATCCAGCACATAATTGGCACTCAGTAAATGGCACCTAATAGAACAAAAACTGATCATGTAGTTTTCTGAGCACATGGTTAATTTGCAAATACGCTTGTAGTATGGCTCAGAGCCTGTATAATTCCTGAAATTTTCTTTTCGGGAAGGAAAGAGGAAACTAAATTAATTGAAGGCCTAGTATATGCCAGGTGCTGATAGATGGCTTACATATAGCATCTTATTTAATCTTTACAATCATTCTGATAGGTAGAAATTATGATTATTCCATTGAGAAATGTGAATAAAGAAAATAATGTGCCTAAGGCTGACATTATTTAGCCAAGGACATGCTCTAGAAATTTGTTTTCAAGACTTTTGCTAGCTCACTGACTCCTTTTTTTGGAGTGAGGGAGACGTTGGTTTGACTCCTGGCTTTGTTGCTTATTAGGTGTGTATCCTCAGGTAACCTTTCTGTGCCTTGGTAAAATGCACAGTAAACAAGACAGTGCCAGACGTATAGAAGATGATGACAATAGTGACAAAGGAAGAGGAGAAGAGAACAGATTGAACCCTCACCCTTTTCCTTACCCATCCATCCCCTCCACTGAAATTCTGGGCAGTGACTGTCCAAGGTAACCAAGTACTGACAGAGGACAGAAGCACCACAGAGAATGACAAGCCAATCGGGATCCTAAATGCTCTCTATTTTGGACATCACTAGATCTGAGATGTGCTGACACACGCTGACACTCTATGTCCAAGGGCAACTTCACTGCTCAGCTGAGTACTGGCCAGTCTACTCAGTCAGCAGAAGTGGGCTTTCCAAGTGCAGGGAAAAGTTTAATGATATTTCAATAGGTTAAAGTATACAGCATTAAAATGAGAACAATACATATTTTTTAACCAAAAATAAGCAAATGTAAGAGTTTCAAGAAACTTAAACAGTAATGTAACAGATACCATTTATCAAGCCCTTACCAAGTACTCTTTACATATGCTTCTTCAAAGCTTCGTAACAACCTTTTTAGACTGAGACTAGACATGGAGAAATGGAAGCTCAGAGAAGAGAAATGATCCTTGTCCCCCAGTTGAGAAACCTCCAGTCTTCGGAGTATACTTCTTGTTACTTCCCACTCCCTCCCACCATCCACCACTATGCATGTGCTAGGGTCTCAACATTTTCTACCTTCCACAGTTTCTCCTCCCTTCTCCACTTCATTCAAAAATAATTAATTCATTTTTTAATCACGCAAGTTATATTCAGTCAAGCAAAGCACAGATGGTGAGAGCACAAATGGGGAAGGGGGAATGTTGCAGATGGGGGCTACCTGCGCCTTGGCAGAGGTCTTTCCTACCCTGTCTCTTCTCCCTCTCCACACCACTACCCTCTGGTCCTGGTTTCCTCCACCTCCGATGCCCAGCCATCACCAGTTCTGGGAGAGGCTTTTCCTTCCATCCACCCAGGTGCTGCACATGCCGGAGGGTGGGGCAAACCTGTGGCCCAGCTCACCGTGCTTTCAGGCCCTGGGGTGGGGGCCCTGGCTCCCACTGGCTTGGGCTCCCTGCTCTGTTTCTTCAAGTATTTGTAGCTCAGGAGGTTGTACCAACGAGTTGACCTCTCTCCAGAGCGGCAGACCTCGGCCAGGCTGATCTGGGTGCCTCCCTGTTGAGGATGGGCAAAGAGAGAGTGTAAGCAGCGGCTGCCAAGGCATTCCGGAGTCTGGCTCCTGGGGAAATGGGAGCTGCCTGCGAGGAAGAAAGGGCTCACTGCTAATCATTTTCAGTAATTCACTCATTCATTACCTTATTCATTCACTGGTTTACTTGTTTGCCAAATCTTTATTGAGCACCTATAGAATGTTCTCTTTTTTTATTATTAAAAAACACGTAAAATTTACCTTTTCCCCCACTTTACTGAAATATTCATGCTGCACATTATATACCCAGCACTAATTTATCTTATAACTGGAAGTATGTACCTCCTGACCACCTTCACCCATTTGTGCTACCCCACAGCTCTGGCAACCACCAATCTGTTGTTTTTATGAGTTTGTTCTTTTAGGGTCCATGTACCAGTGAGATCATGCAATATTTATCTTTCTCTGACTGGTTTATTTCACTTAGCAAAAATGCCCCCAAGGCCCATCCATGTTGTTGCATAAAATTTACCATCTTGACTATTTTAAAGTATATAGTTCACTGTCAGGCATATTTACATTGTTCTGAAATAGGTCTCCAGAACTTTACATCTTGCAAATCTGAAACTCTATACTCACTAAGCAACTTCCCTTTTCTCCCTCTCTCCCAGTCCCTAATAGCCACCAGTCTACTTTCTGTTTCTATGAATTTGACTACTGTAATAACTTATATAAATGGAATCGAACAGTATTTGTCTTTTTGTGACTGGCTTATTTCATTTAACATAATGTCTTCAAGGTTCATCTGTTGCGACAGGACGTGACAGGTTTGCCCTTCTTAAGGCCCAGTAATATCCCACTGTGTGTATATGCCACATTCTGTTTATCCATTCATCCATCCAAGGACATCTGGGTTGCTTCCACCTCTTGATTGTTGTGAATGGGTGTGCAACATGGGTGTGCAAATGTCTCTTTGAGACCTTGTTTTCAATCCTTTTGGATAGATACCCAGTAAGATTGCTAGATCATGTGGTAGCTCTATTTTTAATTTTTTGAGGACCCGCCACACTGTTTTCCATAGCAGTCACACCATTTTATAATCCCACCAATGGACCAATGGTGCACAAGGGTTCCAATTTCTCCATATTCTCGTCAACACTTCCAGTTTTACCAGTAAGATTGCTAGATCATGTGGTAGCTCTATTTTTAATTTTTTGAGGACCCGCCACACTGTTTTCCATAGCAGTCACACCATTTTATAATCCCACCAATGGACCAATGGTGCACAAGGGTTCCAATTTCTCCATATTCTCGTCAACACTTCCAGTTTTGTTTTTTTTTTAATAACAGCCTTCCTAATGAGTTTAGGCATTGTGGTTTTGATTTGCATTTCTCTGATGACAGTGGTGTTGAGCATCTTTTCATGTGTTTATTGGCCACTGGAGAAATGCCTGTTCAAGCCATTTGCTCATTTTTAAAATTGGGTTGTTTGTTTTTTTGTGGTTGGGTACCTATCCTATATTAATCATATTGAATGCTAGGTTCTGTGTCAGGTACCAGGGATAAGTGATGGTTCCCCACCTTCTTGGGAAGCTGACTCAGACATTGAACAAGTAATTAATTATAAATGAGATGAAACACCACATATCGTGTCTCCTCCACCAAATTTGCAAAGATCTAAAAATTTGACAAGATATGCTATTGGTGAGGCTATGGGGAAATAGGCAGTCCCTTACTTTTCTGGAAGGAATGCAAATGGTAAAAAACTTATGGAAGGCATTTGGCAATATCTAGCAAAAACACAGAGGCATTTTTCTCTTTGACCAGTAATCCTATTTGTGTCTATCCCATAGATAGACCAACACAAGTACAAAATGTCCCATGAATAAGAAGGGTCCTTATTCTGTCCCTCTTTCTAATAGTAAAAAAAACTTTTAATTTAAAAATATTTTTAAAAATATTGTACTAAGGTACAATTGACATATACCATTATATTGGTTTAGGTCTACAATGTAATGATTCATTATTTGTATACATTGTGAGATGACCACCACAGTAAGTTATCATCTGTCATCACATGTTGCTACAAAAAATTTTTTTCTCTTGTGATGGGGACTTTTCAGATTGATTCTCCTAGCAACTTTCAAAACTGTAATACAGTATTATTACCTGTAGTCACCATGCTGCACATTACATCCCCATGACCATTTTATAACTGGAAGTTTGTACCTTTTGACCCTCTTTACTCATTTTGACCACTTCCCCTCTGGCAACTGCCATACTGTTCTATCTATGAACTTGGCTTATTTTGCTTTTAGATTTCACATATAAGTGAGGTCATATGGTATTTATCTTTGCCTGATTTATTTAACTTAGCATAATGCCCTCGTGGTCCCTCCATATAGTCACAAATGGCAAGATTTCATTTCTTTCTATGGCTGAAGAGTATTCCATTGTGTGTGTGTATGTATTACATCTCATCTTTATCCATTCATATATCACTGGATACTTTGTTTCTGTATCTTGGTTATTATCAATAATGCTTCAGTGACATGGGGGTGCATATATCTTTTTGAATTAGTGCTTTTGTTTTTTTGGCTAAGTATCCAGAAGTAAATTGCTGGATCATTTGGTAGTTCTATTTCTAATTTTTTGAGGAAACTCTACACTTTTTTATAGTGGCTGCACCAATTTACATTCCTACTAAGAGCGCACAAGGGTTCCCTTTTCTATCCATCCTCACCAACACTTATTTCTTGTCTTTTTGATAATAGCCATTCTGACAGGTGTGAGGTGATACCTCATTGTGGTTCTGATGTGCATGTCCCTAACGATCAGTGATACGGAGCACCTTTTCATGCGCTTGTTGGCCATCTGTATGTTTTCTTTGGAAAAATATCTATTCAGATCCTTTGTCCATTTTTTAATCAGATTGCTTTTTGCTGTTTAGTTGCATGAGTTCCTTATATATTTTGGATTTTAACCCTTTATAGGATGCATGATTTGCAAATATTTTCTCCCATTCCATAGGATGCCTTTCTATTTTGTTGATGGTTTCCTTTACTGTGCAGAAGCTCTTTAGTATGATGTCGTCCCATTTGTTTATTTTTGCTTTTGATGCCTTTGCTTTTAGAGTCAGATCCAAGAAATCAGTGCCCAAACTAATATCAAGGAAAATGATTTTGAACAATGCAAAGCTCCAGAAACAGAGGACTGGAAGAGTAAACCATAGCTCTACAATGGAATATTATATAGTATGTATAAAAAATGATGAACATTTTCACTGATATGGTGAGATCTCCAGGGCAAATTCTTATGGGGAAAATACAGAATAGTGCAGAACAGAATATGTGCTACTTTTTGTATAAGAAATGGAGGGATAAGAATATATATATTCTGTCTCTATGTACATATTTTGCACCATGTTTGAAGTGCAGAGGAGAGTGAACATGATCACATGATTATATATGCAACAAGAAATAATGGAAAGATAATGAAGACGCTAATCAGAGTGGTTACCTATCTAGGGTAGGTAGTGGGATTGGGGTGAAAGGTCTGGAGGGAGCAGGATTTCTTTTCAGCAAACCTTTCTATACAGTTTTTCTTTGAATCATGTAAATGGAGCCTTTAAGATAAAAACAAACTATAACAAATTAGCCTAACTGAATATAACTTCTCAGAGAGAGGATTTATTTCAAGTGACTTAATATTTTCACTACACATCCTTAGCAGAAAGAACTACAAAATAATTCTAACCATTCCTCAGGGGTCTTACTGTTTCAACACATCCTTTTTTGAAGAGCCCTGCCTAGGTTTGGGGTTTAGGTCACTCACCTTCCCCAAACATAACAGTGGCTGTGCTAGAAATACCACAAGCCAGCTTGTGAAGTGGGCCAGTAGCCAAGTAATAGCTCAGGATGGCACCTGGGATTAGGAGGGGGCTCTTCAATCTACCTGGGATCCTTTCTTCCAGTTTTTCCTTCTATCATGTAACAGCATGGCATGGAGTGTGCAAAGCCACTGTGTGGCTAAAGGTGACTTCTAGGAGAACAGTGGTGAGTAGGTTGAGAAAACAAGGAAAATAACTCCTACCTTCAGGACTATAGTCAATAGGCACCTAGAATAAATTTAAATATATGTTTATATTGCTCATTCATTTAGTAAATATTCTCTGAGGCCTTTGCAGGCTCTGGAGCCACAGTACCATGTAAGACATGATTTTGCCCCCAAGGGACTCAGAGTTTCCTGGGGGGACAAATACATCAGATAGCACAGTTCAGAATGTGCCAGTTCACTTATGAGGAGCAAAGGGGTAATGAACATGAGGACAGCACTGATGTATGACACTGCCATCAGATGATTGCCAACAAGCTACCCCATCTACTTTGGGCTGGCTCGTAGGTGTGAAAATGGTGTATCTCAGCTGACATTTACATTCATTCATTCAACACACAGATTTGCCAAGAGTGCCAGGCACTCTATGTGCCAGGCTCTGTTCTGGGTGCTGGTGATACAGCGGGATTTAAAGCAGATAAAAATCCCTGCCCTCAAGAGCTTACATGCCCATCTGAGAGAATCAGATACAAATCAAATAAGTAAATTTTATATTGCATTTCATGGAATTTAAGATGCTACCAATTCTTAAGTGTACTATTATTTCATGCACTACTAAGAAAGGAAAATAGTTGCCAACTAAACTATGACCTGCCATCTAGTATAAACTGCATCTTGATTTCAGAGATGATAAAATGCGAAAATCATGTGTACCCTAACATCTGTGATATAGAGAAATGTTAGGTGATTGAAAGTACCCCAGAGAAAAATAATACAGGGAGAAGGGATAGGAGGAGATAGAGGAGTGGAGGGGGGCATGTGATTTTAAACAGAGTAGAAGGAAGGTGACATTTGGGTCAAGCCCAGAATGAGGTGAGGGAGTGAGCCTTGAACGTCAATACGTGGGAGAACAGAATTCCAGTCAGAAGGCACAGCAAGTGTAAAGGCCTGACGCGGGGAGTGTGCGGTGTACCCAAGGGGCACAGGAGGCTGGAGGAAGAGCCTTGGTATGAATACTGAAAAATGAGGAGGAGAGCCCAAGGGCCTTGGAGGCCAGGCCCAGGCCCAGATGTTGACTCTAGGTGGAGACAGAAGCCATTGTAAGGCTTTAGGTAGAGGCGGGGCATGTACTGACTTGTAATTTAATAGGACTACTTTGGCCTCTGTGTTGAAAAGAGATGAAGCAGGACAAGGACAGAAGCAGGGAGACCCAGCAGGAGACTGCTACCCAATCCAGGTGAGAGACGACAGTGAGTCAGGGGCAGCAGTGGGAAGTGGTTGGGATATGGGGCCCTTCTGAAGGCGGAGCTACCAGGAGTTCCTGAAGGATTGACTATAGGGCACAAGGAAGAGGTGACTCAACGGTGACCCTGTAGTCTCTGGCCTGGACAGTGGAAGAATGGGGCTGCCATCAGCTGAGATAGTGAAGATACAGGAGGAAAGATCAGGTGCTTGCTTGTGGACATACACATCTGAGATGCCTACTGGACTGGCAGGCAAAGATGTGGAATAGGCAGCAGCTAAATACTGCAGAGATAAGCCGAGAGGCCTAGGCTGGAGCCACACATTTGGGATGGTGTTTGAAGCCGGAGAACAGGCTGAGATCACCAATGCAGTGAATGCAAATAGAAAAGGGTAAAGGAGCAAGGGCTGAGCCCTGGGGCCCTCTGACAGTTACAGGTCAGGGCAATGAGGAAGAACCAGCCAAAGAGAGAGAGAAGCCAGTGATGTGGGAAGAACTAGGAGGGCAAGGGGTCTGGGCAGCCAAGTCAGAGCAAAGATGTCAAGGACGACAGAGCGAGCAGCTGAGCCAAATAAGTTGGCAGTTGATAAGCCAAGAGAGATGAGGATGGAGACCTGGCCACTGGATTTAGTAACAAGGAGGTCGCTGATGGCCTTAGACCAGAGCAGGGGGAATGTAACGAACACATTTCTGGTGGAATGACAAAGGCAAAAGCCCACATGGGTTAGGCCCCAAAGAGAACATGAATACCTCTTTCACATTTAGCTATGAGAGAAAGGAAAGAAACAATGTAGTAGCTGGAGGTAGAAGTGGGGTAAAAAAGATTTTTAAGCACATGAAAATAGCAGCAGTGTTGACATATTGATAGACCACATCCAGAAGAGGGGGGAAAACAGGGAGAGGAAAGAGCAGGAGAATAACTGTGGGCATGGTGTCCTGGGGAGAGTATGGCCTTAGATGGGAGCAGGGGAACCAGGAGAAATGCAGAACCTATGAGAACAGCTAGGTGAGGGGTGGCAGCTCTCCCCTGGTTCCTTCCATTCTCTCAGAACTGACCATGGCGCAGGAGCATCAGCGGAGGGAGGGTAAGGGTTGGGAGGAGCTGCTGGGGGTTGGAAGAGAGAGGGGAGGAGAACTCACCACTGGGATGAGCAGAAGGGAGACGCAGAATAAATGCGGGGAAGCATTAGGGCTCATGTGGGGTTTACAACCACAATCTTAACACGAGACCTTACAGCACGGCTGTGTGTGTCTTTCTCCAACTGCACAGGTAGCAAGGAGGTGGAGACTTCACTTTGACAGGGCTGAGGTTTTGCCAAGTAAGGATGGCAAAATAGGAATGGGCCAAAGAGATGCCATAACGTTAATGATGGGATATGAGTGGGGCCTGGGAGAGGGCTGTGTTATCAGAACCTGTGCTGAGTGGCTCTGAGCAAAGCAGCTGGGGAGTGGGCACTAGGGGCCCAGCTGGAGAGCCTATGACCTCTTTGAAGGCCACGCCAAAGCCCTGGGGACAACTGTTATCTGCAGTATCAACGAGGGCAGGCCGTGTATTCATCCAAACACAACTCAGTTCTGGGGACACGAGAGAGAGTCAAGTAGCCCCCTGACAGGTAGGAATAGTATGATGGCTACCTGTAAGAAAGTTGGAGTCTCTGTTCACATCCAAGCTTCTCCACTTTTTCACTGGATGCTCTGAGCAGGTGACTTAGCTTTTCTGGGACTCGACCAGTTATCTGTCAAATGGAAGTAGTCCTCATACTTCTTCCTAGGGCTCTTGTGAGAATTAAATGAGATACTGCCTGTAAAATTCTTAGCCCAGGACAGACACAGAGCCATTGCTTAAGATGGGTACTACTGTTGTCTGGCTGATTACATGGCTCACAACAGCAGGGATTCCACAAACCAGCAGTGGAGGAAGATGGTGCAGGGGCACACTGCCCTGTCTCGTGTCTCTTCCTTGCTTCCTCCTCCAGCCACCAAAACATGACAGCCTGACACTCCATGTCCCCACAGGATACGGGAAAGTAGGTTTCCCATTGGCCAGGGACAGGGACAAGCCGCAGAGGGATGTGCAGTTTTGGCTGCTGTCATGGCAACCAGCAACAGCCAGCCTTCAAGGAGGAAGGAGGAATAAAAGGCATCCAATTAGGAGAAGAAAACAGGATTGAGTCTCTTCTCGTTTAGGAATGCCCAGGGCTGAGGAAACCCTTCTCTGGGTTTGGAAAAGCTTTTTTTGCTGTTGTTCAGAAAGCCACTCACAGAACTCTTGCATCACTTCCCACCTGTGGGACAGTGGTCCAGATAGCACTACGCTGGCACAGAGCAACACCAGGGGTCTAACGCGGTGGGCTTCAGAGGAGGACGTGCTGGGCTCCGACTGCGCTCCTGCCATCTCCTCACGGTGCGACCTTGGGCAAGTTCTCTCACCTCTTCGTGCCTCAGATTCCTAGCCAGTATAACTACCTTTTTTATAAAGTCATAGTGAGGATCAGTAGAGATCATGATGTGTGTAAGGAGCTTAGCTCAGAGCCTGCCACATAAATTGCATCCAATCGACACTTACAACTGCATTACTGCCAGTAATAATAACAACAACATAAAGGGGAGGAAGCTGTTGAGCACCCCAGCTGAAGAGGAAAGGGACGGGAACTGATATGCACTGAGCACCTAGTGGGTGCAGACACTATGCTGCTTCACATCCCCCAGAATCACCATCACTTGGGAGCTCTTAGAAATGCAGTCTTAGCTCCCCCAGACTTGCTGAGTCAGAATCTGCATTTTAACCTGAGCTTCAGGTAATTTGTATGCATGGTAAGCTTTAAGAAGCACTGCTTTAGCACCTTATTTAATCTGCAGAGAATCATCTGTGGTATAGGCAGTGCTATCTGGATTTTACAGATAATGGAACATACTGAGAATTAAATAGTCCTAGGGGACATGGCGGGGAAGGACAGGGCTGGTGACTCAGCCTCAGGCACAAGGGATGTGGTCCTACAGGTCCATCCCAGAGAAAGGAACGTCCCACTCCCCCATCCTCTGCTCCCCTTACGTCTGAGAACACTGTTCACCTGTGGAAGAGTTCCTGCCTAGAACCCACGATGAGCTTGACTGATACCACAACCCGTTTTCTCCAAGCCTTCCCCCTGAAGTGTAGGCAGACCACTCCCCAGAAGGATGGAAGGCTGAACAGACAGACAGACGCAGGTCTCACCAAGCACTCCTCCAGATGGCTTCTGTCAGAGGTACAGACATCTACTCTTAAGGTCTTCTGGTGAAGGGCCGGATAGGACATGGACACCCAGAACACTTCGTTGAACACGAGGGTGTCCACGGCGTCCAGGGGCCGCGTCCGAAAGAGGCAGGTGGTGCTTTCGGAGCAGGGAAGGATGGCCACGCGAATGTTCCTGGAGGGAGACAGAAACGCAGGAGAGCCTAGGTCATCCCCTGGCTGGTGCTGATGTATTTGGCTAAACAGCTGCCGTGAATCCCCAAGAGAACACTGGTGCACGTTGTGAGGGAAGCAGAAAGGGCCCCAGGGAAAATACATGGCACACTCTCCCTTCTCCTGAATCCCTCCATTCCTTAGAACCTCAAAGCATGAGCAGCCTGAGGCCGACAGTGTGAGAACATCTGTGAGCTTGCTGGCTAACACTGAGGAATCCTCGCACAATTGCTGGTAGGAAGGCAAAATGCTACCACCCCTGCAGAAGGCAATAGGAAATCCCAACTACAGATGCTTTAACCTTTGACCCAGATGGCTTACTCCTAGACACCCCTGCACAAGTGCTGATGAAATATGGATAATGGTATTCATTCTGGCACTGTTCACAAGAGTGAAAGACTGAACACAACCCTGATATCCAATCCTGTCTTCCTTCTGTTTGGCCTGCTGTCCTCCTGCCTTCCTTCCCCGACATGCTGCACCCCCAGATGCTGGTTGGGTGCAGGCGACAGCAGTTACCAGCTCCCATGATGCCCTCGAGGCCTCTGGTCTCATTAAAGGAGAAAGATGTGGGCAGATGAGTGCGATGAAATGCAAAGCCAGTCGGCAATGGCAAGAGCCGGCAGGAGGACAGTGCAGGGACTTGCTGTGCTATCAACTGTAAGGCAATACCTCTCTTGGGTACTGTGACAGGCACTGACTCCTGAGAAAGGCAGACCTGTCCCTTCCTGTGTGGAACACTTGAGCTTAGAGGAGATAAAAGGTACCATGACCTTCTTTTTCACAAGGCTCCAAGTTCGCAAGGGCAGGAGTTTGCTCACCACCCCACTCTTAGTGTTGGCTCACGGTAGGCACGCAGGATGTATATGTGAAGGAATCGGAGCTGTCTAGCATGTCTTTATCACAGATGCTGTCTTAATAGTCAGCATGTTTGCTACCACACCTGTACCTACATGCACAGTACTGACACTTTACATTGTGGTCATATGCGTTCAAATACCCCTATTTATTTAACAGGGCCTGTGGTCAGAGCAGGAACACTTCCCTGGGGATATCTGGAAAGGGGGAGAGGATAATCCACACCTGTCAGCTACATACTCACACTTTCTGGTCTTGTTGCAGCAACAGAGCAGAAAGGTTACTCAGCTGAATGATTAATATTGCAAATTGCTTATTCTTCTCATCATACCTGAAATGAAAAAGGGCATAGGGAACACTTATTAGTAACACATTTCCCTCCTCTCTGAGCCACAGACATGGCTGCTGGCTGCTCGGGGGACTGTGGGGAGCTACAGAGCACAGGCCTGGCGTGCTGCTGCTATGCAGACATGGTTCCAGAGCTGACAGACTGAATTTTTAAAGAGAAGCCGGAAAGTTGTGTGTAATTTCCTGATATTTAAATGTTGGCAGTTAATTCCTATTTTAAAAAATTGAGTCTATCCTGTAACAGGAGAAAACAAAGCAGGAACAACAAATCTGGGCTGCAGCCCTTGGGGTCAACTGCAGTCCTGAAACCCTGATGGGATGGCAAGACAAAAGCCACGGCAAGTGTGACCACGGGGACCAAGAGGCAGGAGGTCCTGTCCTGGTCTGTCTGTCACTGCCCGGCTCAGTGAGATGGGGGAAATGACAAGGTCCTCAGACTCTCATTTTTCTCTTTTATAAAGTGGGGAGCTGGGAGGCAGGCTAAGAGCTGCCCCCCACAGAGGTCCTGCTGGTTCTGCCTTCCTCCCCAAGCAGGCAGGAAGGTAAATGCTGTTACGATGCTGCAGACAAGGGAGAGACCCCACACAGACCACTCCCCTCTGCTCTCACCCTCCCCGTCACTCACTTCAGGGCCATCTGAACCCGGGTTGCACCCACTGCTTCTGATTCATCACTGTCAAAAGCAGCAGCTTCTGAAGCACCCAGTCTGAAAGGCAATGTGGAAAAGAAAGAGGCTCAGGCTTCCCTGTGGTGACCTGGGGCCAAAGTCATCTTCCAGAAGCAAGGTTCTCTGGGAGGCTGTGGCTGGATCCTCCAAGAGGGAAGTTTGGGTCGGCTTGGCCTCCCCGTGGGCCTGCCTTCCCACAGATGCCATTCCCTCTCTTAAAGGGGCAGTCCTTTCTCCAGCACCTGCTCTCTGGGCCGAACACTTTCTGACAGCAATCACAGAACTAGGGCTCTCCCAAATTCGAGGTGCCCCCAGTGCCAAGAGTAGCTGCGCTGTCTGCATCTCTGGCACAGCCCCATACAGGGCTGCCCGGCGGAGGCGGAGCTCACCCTTCCTTCCTGTGGCACGCCTTCCATGCAGGCCCCTCCCACTGACCTGTGCGGCCCTGGGCTCTACCCATTCCCGAGTTCCCAGACAGAGGGTGCCGGACTCAGGGACCCACCTCTGCACGGAAGCCTCATAGACACCACTGTCCCCGGCCACGGATTCATCTGACACAGCAGCTGAGACACAGGCCACTTTCAGGCCACACCCCTGGGCTGTATTCACAGCTGCAGGAAGAGGGGAGAAAAAGGAGGGATGGCAAGGAGGGGTTTAGGAACCAGGATACTGTCTATGCAACACACACTTACTGTGTCCTTAGATGGTCCTGCTAAATTCCAACCCCTCTGAGTTTTTACCAAGGTCCTCCCTCACTTTTGGGTGAAGGAAAAGAGAGCATATGATTCTGTGTTTAACATTCCACACTCAGGAGTCAATGTGCCTGGGTTCAAATCTCAGCTCCACCACTTACTGCTTCATGACACTAGGACATTGACTGAACTTCTTCAGGCCCCAGATTCCTCATCTGTAAAATGGGGGTACTAATACCTACCTTGTAGGGCTGTTGGGAGGACTCAGTGTAGAGCCTGGAACAGGGAAAGTGCTCTACAAAATTCAGTACCACTATCCTTATTGCAACTGTCTTTTTCATCACTATTCTGATGCCTTCAAGATCAATCTCTACACACCTGAGGCAAAATAACAGCCCCTGGACCCTAGGAAGGTAGAAGGGGAGGAAAAGGAAGGGCTGGAGCCATGTCTCCCACTCGGCCTATCCCGTTCCACTCCTAACTCAGCTCACTGTCTCTGCCCTGGACGGAGGCCCTGGAACGCCTCTGACCCTGGACTCAGACAGGAGCACTCAGTGCACGCTGCTCATTTCTTCCTCCCAGGTGATGGCAGGTGACAGCGAGCCAGGCCCATTGCCAAGTTTACATCTTCCAAGATGAACAGGATAGTTCCTGACCTCTGCGCTGTGAGAAAGGCCAGATTCAGGCCCTGCAACCTCACAGCCAGTACTTCTGAGCACCCACTGTGTGCCAGGCGTCAGGGCAGAGAAGAGACTGGGGCGGGGCAGGCTGGGGGAAAGGATGGTGACAGCGAGCCTGGGGCAGCCAAGCGGCCGTCTGGGTGCGGCTTTCCCAGCCTGTGTCCCACACCTGCTGCGGCTGGCAGAGACCTCCCGCCTTCAGACCCACGCATCTCCACCCTCCACTGAACCACTTAAGGAGATTAATTTGTCTGCTGACTGAACAGCGGCACTAATCGCATAACCTGCTTAGCATCTGAGCTCAGCCTGGTATCACTCACTGCAAACAAGGCTTCTGGAGATGCCATGAAGGAAACGCCATCCCGAGATATGTGCCATCTGTGGCCCACAAGCCCCAAGGAGGTTGTGGTGGTGGTGGGGAGACGTCACTCCTGAAACCTGGCTGGAGTCCCAAAGTCCCTGACTTGGCTTATCACCACCATTAATCAGGGAGCATTGGGAACACTTCCTGAGCCTTGTTACAGGTTCCACCCGCACCCCCTCCTCTCCAGGGAACAATTTTCTAAAGTTTGCCACCTGCTGCAGTAGGAAGCCTGTTTTTATTTTTGTTTGAGAACACTCAGCAAGACTCCTTTCCTGATGAGAGAGCCCCAGGGATCTCTCAGCTCCTAAGGAAATGTCTGGCACTCATCCAATAGAGTCTTTAATTAACCAGGAAATCTCGTCTTCCCCTTTGCTTCCACTGGCCCCTTACACAGGAACGGGTAATTGTGGGCATGGCAGCAGCCCTCCCACCCATTCCCAGAGCTTTAAGGCTGAGATGGGTCCCGCTTCTCCCAGCTGGCCTCACAAGGAGCCGGGAGCAGGAACGCACTGCAGACAGAGCCGGCACAAGTCTTAGTGTGGGTTTGGAGAAGGTGGTCCTTGTGCCACTCATGACTCTACTGCTTCCCACCCGTGACACTGACCTTGGATCAAGTCATTTAACCTCACTTTTTCATCTGTAAGATGAGAATAAAAATAGCACCCACCTCACAGAGTTGCTGTGAGGCTTAAATGAGTAAATATGGAGAGCAGTGTGCTTGTACACCTATACTTCATAAATCATAACAAGGAAAGCCTACGAGCCCCATGTGAGCTTACTGGGCACCCTCCTCAGTCCTGATCTTCATACCAGGTGGGCATGGTGGGACCAGCAAGCACCAGGAAAGTCTCAGGACATTCCTTGCATCCTAAAAGGGATGACTATAAAGAGGTGGGGTTCCGGAGTCAAAAAAATAAAAACAAAAAACGGATGCCAATCTCTGTTTCTCCAGAATGGTTTGGACACCTAGGACAAGTGACATCATCTCACTGAGCCTCTGTTTCCTCATCTATGAAATGGACATAACAGAGGCACCCTATTTGATATATGAAGAGCACTGCCCATCTCAAAATACATCCCAATGAATATTGATCATTATAATGCATTATATGGTTGCTGCTAAAGAATTTTTCTCCTAATAAATCTCAGCTGTCATCATCATCATCTTCTGTTTTGAAGATTCCAATTATAATTTCAATCCATACCAGAATGTTCTTTCTGACCCCAGGCAGAATGGAAGTCAGATTATACCACGACTTTGCTCCAAATGGTCACCTGGGTACCTACTGCAATTAGGATAAAATCCAAACTCCTCACTACAGCCATCCGAGCCACACGTGACCTGGAATCTGCCTGATTTTCTGGCCTTGTTGGTGACCCCCTATCTCTGGCCCCTCTCATAGCCCCTTGCCTCTGGCCTCAGAGACTATGCTCTTGCTTTTCCCAAGGTTGGCTCCTCCTCACTGTTCAAGGTACCGTTCACTGCTCCTCAGTGTCCAAGCCAGCGTTTAAATGTAGCCTTCCTTTACAACCCAGTTTGAACTGGCAGCCCCACCCCAACCTGAAAGGCTCCATCCCATCCCCTGTTTAAGATCCTTCTTAGTGATTCTATTGGTCTAGTTGTAGTTATTGTCTGTGCTTTCATTTGCATGTATGCTTCATGGAACAGGGATGCTATTATCCTGTGACTAAGCTGGTGCCTGGCACACAGCACATTTGTTGAATGAATGAATGAATCCAGGCACACCCATTAGAAAATGACCTGGCATTTTGTTTCAGGAGGTACTTGATAAGTATTTGTGAAATCAATGAATTCATAATGGAAAAACCCTCAGCCCAGAACCTAGGACATAGTATATATATAACAAATACCTACCGAATGAATACATAAATCAACATACCATGTAACAATCTGGCACACAGCAGCCAGTAAGCACTGACCATAATTATCACTGGGGTCAACGCTCAGGCCTGAGCACAGTTTCCACCTTCCTCCCTCCTTGTGGGGCCCACCCACCCTGGGAGGTGCTGCTCTCTACCTTGGCTCAGCTGCATGCCCTGTGTTCCCGGGTCTTCCAGGCGGTACCTCTCCCGGGTGCTGCTGCCAAGGCTCAGTTCACCAAGAGTGGCACTCAGTTCCGGGTCTTCAAACTCCAGAGGGCTCAGAAAGGCATCTCCAGCCAGGAGGGGGTCAGCAATGAGAGGAGAGCAGGGCGGGGATGGGGAGGAGAGGGAGGAGCGGGGGGACAGGGAGGTCAGGGACTTCGGGGTGCCAGACAGGGAGCGCAGGGCCTGCAGGCGGCTGCCCCCCTCCACTTTCTGGGTCTTGGCCACCTCATCTTCGTGGATGGTGGTGATGCACCCGGAGGGTCGGAAGCCTGTGGCCCCCTCCAGGAGCATGAACTCCACCTTGCTCTGCAGTTCTGAGTCCAGCTGCTCAAAGGGGTCATAGTAGAGGTCGGTGAAGCTGGCCGAGGTGGAGGAGTCCAGGCTGGAAGCGGCCAGGGAGCCCCGGCTGGATGTGAGGGAGCCAGGGCTGCTGCCCGAGGACAGGGACTGCATGCTGCTCGAGAGGCTGGGGGCAGGGAGAGGGGAGAGGCTGAGGACACAGAGTGAAGCGGGCCTTGTGGAACTCCCCGCATGGCTCTGAAAAGCACCACGGGCACTCAGAATACATACCCAAAGTCCCTGACTTGGCTTATCACCACCATTAATCAGGGAGCATTGGGAACACTTCCTGAGCCTTGTTACAGGTTCCACCCGCACCCCCTCCTCTCCAGGGAACAATTTTCTAAAGTTTGCCACCTGCTGCAGTAGGAAACCTGTTTTTATTTTTGTTTGAGAACACTCAGCAAGACTCCTTTCCTGATGAGAGAGCCCCAGGGATCTCTCAGCTCCTAAGGAAATGTCTGGCACTCATCCAATAGAGTCTTTAATTAACCAGGAAATCTCGTCTTCCCCTTTGCTTCCACTGGCCCCTTACACAGGAACGGGTAATTGTGGGCATGGCAGCAGCCCTCCCACCCATTCCCAGAGCTTTAAGGCTGAGATGGGTCCCGCTTCTCCCAGCTGGCCTCACAAGGAGCCGGGAGCAGGAACGCACTGCAGACAGAGCCGGCACAAGTCTTAGTGTGGGTTTGGAGAAGGTGGTCCTTGTGCCACTCATGACTCTACTGCTTCCCACCCGTGACACTGACCTTGGATCAAGTCATTTAACCTCACTTTTTCATCTGTAAGATGAGAATAAAAATAGCACCCACCTCACAGAGTTGCTGTGAGGCTTAAATGAGTAAATATGTAGAGCAGTGTGCTTGTACACCTATACTTCATAAATCATAACAAGGAAAGCCTACGAGCCCCATGTGAGCTTACTGGGCACCCTCCTCAGTCCTGATCTTCATACCAGGTGGGCATGGTGGGACCAGCAAGCACCAGGAAAGTCTCAGGACATTCCTTGCATCCTAAAAGGGATGACTATAAAGAGGTGGGGTTCCGGAGTCAAAAAAATAAAAACAAAAAACGGATGCCAATCTCTGTTTCTCCAGAATGGTTTGGACACCTAGGACAAGTGACATCATCTCACTGAGCCTCTGTTTCCTCATCTATGAAATGGACATAACAGAGGCACCCTATTTGATATATGAAGAGCACTGCCCATCTCAAAATACATCCCAATGAATATTGATCATTATAATGCATTATATGGTTGCTGCTAAAGAATTTTTCTCCTAATAAATCTCAGCTGTCATCATCATCATCTTCTGTTTTGAAGATTCCAATTATAATTTCAATCCATACCAGAATGTTCTTTCTGACCCCAGGCAGAATGGAAGTCAGATTATACCACGACTTTGCTCCAAATGGTCACCTGGGTACCTACTGCAATTAGGATAAAATCCAAACTCCTCACTACAGCCATCCGAGCCACACGTGACCTGGAATCTGCCTGATTTTCTGGCCTTGTTGGTGACCCCCTATCTCTGGCCCCTCTCATAGCCCCTTGCCTCTGGCCTCAGAGACTATGCTCTTGCTTTTCCCAAGGTTGGCTCCTCCTCACTGTTCAAGGTACCGTTCACTGCTCCTCAGTGTCCAAGCCAGCGTTTAAATGTAGCCTTCCTTTACAACCCAGTTTGAACTGGCAGCCCCACCCCAACCTGAAAGGCTCCATCCCATCCCCTGTTTAAGATCCTTCTTAGTGATTCTATTGGTCTAGTTGTAGTTATTGTCTGTGCTTTCATTTGCATGTATGCTTCATGGAACAGGGATGCTATTATCCTGTGACTAAGCTGGTGCCTGGCACACAGCACATTTGTTGAATGAATGAATGAATCCAGGCACACCCATTAGAAAATGACCTGGCATTTTGTTTCAGGAGGTACTTGATAAGTATTTGTGAAATCAATGAATTCATAATGGAAAAACCCTCAGCCCAGAACCTAGGACATAGTATATATATAACAAATACCTACCGAATGAATACATAAATCAACATACCATGTAACAATCTGGCACACAGCAGCCAGTAAGCACTGACCATAATTATCACTGGGGTCAACGCTCAGGCCTGAGCACAGTTTCCACCTTCCTCCCTCCTTGTGGGGCCCACCCACCCTGGGAGGTGCTGCTCTCTACCTTGGCTCAGCTGCATGCCCTGTGTTCCCGGGTCTTCCAGGCGGTACCTCTCCCGGGTGCTGCTGCCAAGGCTCAGTTCACCAAGAGTGGCACTCAGTTCCGGGTCTTCAAACTCCAGAGGGCTCAGAAAGGCATCTCCAGCCAGGAGGGGGTCAGCAATGAGAGGAGAGCAGGGCGGGGATGGGGAGGAGAGGGAGGAGCGGGGGGACAGGGAGGTCAGGGACTTCGGGGTGCCAGACAGGGAGCGCAGGGCCTGCAGGCGGCTGCCCCCCTCCACTTTCTGGGTCTTGGCCACCTCATCTTCGTGGATGGTGGTGATGCACCCGGAGGGTCGGAAGCCTGTGGCCCCCTCCAGGAGCATGAACTCCACCTTGCTCTGCAGTTCTGAGTCCAGCTGCTCAAAGGGGTCATAGTAGAGGTCGGTGAAGCTGGCCGAGGTGGAGGAGTCCAGGCTGGAAGCGGCCAGGGAGCCCCGGCTGGATGTGAGGGAGCCAGGGCTGCTGCCCGAGGACAGGGACTGCATGCTGCTCGAGAGGCTGGGGGCAGGGAGAGGGGAGAGGCTGAGGACACAGAGTGAAGCGGGCCTTGTGGAACTCCCCGCATGGCTCTGAAAAGCACCACGGGCACTCAGAATACATTATATTCTTGGGCGCTCTTGACAGTTTTGAGGGGAGACCTTGCACCCTGACCGTTTCCCTAAGGAGGAAACTGATACCCCAGGAAGCTCACATAATCAGAAATTGGCAGAGCTGGGAAAATGAACTCAAGTCAGCTACCTTAAAAGTCCAATTTTTCCTCTGTTTCCCAAACCTCCATTGGATGCATTACATTTCATGTTCTTTCTCCCTATTCAAATCCAACCCAAAATAATATTTCTCAATATTTTTCTTCAAATCAACTCCCCATTTACAGTTTAATTCATTTACCTTAAAAGGGAACTTGATATCCTAAGTGTAATTTTAAAAAGTACCACTACAAATAGGAGGTGGCCATTAAAAGTATCAGATGAAAACAAAATGCTATTAAATTCCAATAATGCCCTGTTGCTGGCCAAGGCCCAGCCTGACACCTATTTAGCATCCAAAGGCGGCCTTCTCCTCGGTGTTATCAGAGGGACTGAGGGAGCTGCAGTCTGGAGAGGTGAGGGACCCTGCCTCCTCCGACCCGCCCCAGTCACGCCAGGCTCAGGCCAAGTCCAGTGGACTAACCACCTGCCTATCGTGATGCTGAATGTCCACACTGAAGCCACAGAGGACACGTGAAGGGCAGAGCCTGGGCTGGGCCCCGCCAGGATGCCTGTATCTGGATACCCCCAGGGGAGCATTCACTGCCCCCTCTCACCTTTTCAGCTGGGAATGCAGAGTGGCTACCTGCCGGGTGGCTTCCTCCAGTTCCCTCACCAGTTGGTTCCTCTTGCTGTTTAGCTTTAACCTGAAGGGAGAGAGGGAATGAGCGGGAGACCCCCGAGGGATCCAGCCTCCATCTCCCTAAAAGAGGAACCATAGGCATGTACTCATACTTGTACAACTCCACAGACCCACAGAAACATACACCAGAAATTTCTGGAAGCACTTTACTATGATGATTGGTGAGATGCGGCCTCTACATATTATCCTATAGTAACTGCTATATTCATCACTTACTACGCAGCAGGAGCTGTGCTAGGAAACCTATGACATTGCTTTCATTCATTTGCACAATAATCCTGCAAGGTAATAATGATTTTTACCACTTTACATATATGAGTTGAAGGAACTGAGATTCTCAGAGTTAAATAATTTACTTAAAGCTGGAGAATTAGTGGTAGAATTAGGATCCTTCTCATTTTTTCCCCTCCCTTCTCTCCTTCCTTCCTTCCTCCCTCCCATCCATCTATCCATACATCCACACACCCACCAATATTTGCTGAGTGCCTGCCTCATACTAGACCTTGCTGTTGGCACTGGGGATAAAGCTGTGAGCAAAACAGACTTGCTTCTGCTTGTATGAAGCTTACATTCCATGGGGGAGGTTGCGAGGAGGACAGATATTAAGAAAATGCTCAAATATCTAATTAACACATTGTAAGACAAGGTTCATGGAATGGTAGAAATGAGTAAGTTTTAACTGGCAGGCGAGCCACTCTGAGCAAGTAACCTGTGGCTGAGCCTGCTGGTGCTCACCCAACTTGTGCTCTCCATAGCTTCCTGGGTCTCCAGCTGGACCCCTTCCCAGCCTGCCTTGCAGCTGGGTGGGTGAGGCATGTGACCAGGTTCCAGCCAATAGGATGTGACAGAAGTGATGCTCATCAGGCTGAAGTAGTTAAGAGAAGTGGTAGTGTGTACTCTGCTATCCCTTGGATGACTCCTATGACCTAAAAGGGAGGTGCCACAAGACAGGAAGAACCTGGGTCCCTGAACGACCAACCACAGAAGGCTGCCTATCAGCCAGGAATACACAACTGGATGCTAGGAGGCAAGAAATAAAATTATTGTGTCAAGCCATAGAGATTTAAGGAGGTTGTAGTAGTTTCCCTTGACTAGGAGAGTACTTTAAGCTGATCAGAAGGAAGAACCTGGAGTTGGCCAGGGAAAGAACACTCCAAGCAGGGAGTTTCAGCAGAGACCTCTTTCATTTTAAGGTCACCATGGCTGCTGTGAGGCAAATGGGCAGGAAGCTACAGACTAAACGCAGAGAGAAGTTACGATGTCTGGGACAGTGTAATTCTGATGGCATGGACTGGGGTGACACTGGAGGAGACAGAGACAGGTGCATGGGCTGGAGAATGGGGGAGGCCAAGGAAGTAAATGTGGATGACTTCAATGTGACTGTCATGAGCAACTGAATGGATTTTGGGATGGCTTTTGTTAAGACTGTAAGGTAGGAGGCAGACCAATCTGGGTAAAGAGAAGAGTTATCTTATGGATGTGCAGATATGAATGCTGAACAGGTGGCTGTTGGAAAGGTGGGGAACCACCATCACAGGGATCACTATGTGAGAGATTACTATCTGTTATAGGCTGAATTGTGTCCTTCGTCCTCCAATTCATACGTTGAAGTCTTAACAACTCAGTATCTCTGAATGTGATTGTATTTGTAAATTGGACCTTTAAAGAATGAAGGTAAAATGAGGTTGTCTGGGTGGGCCCGACTCCAGTATGACTGTTGTGCTTCAATAATAAGGGGAGATTAGGACACAGAGACATGCATAGAGAGAAGACGGTGTGAAGACATGGTAGATACCACTTGTAGAAGGCCACCTACAAGCCCAGGAGAACAACCTTGCCAACATCTTGATCTTGGCCTTCTAGGCTCCAGAACTGTGAGACAAGAAATTTCTGTTGCTTAAGTCACCCAGTTGTGGTACTTTGGTTGACAGCCCTACCAAATGAATGTGCTATCTGAGAGTAAAAATACAAAGGGGGAACAAAAAGCGGTGGCAGCCAGGACTGAGCTTGGAGGATATACAGCATTCCAAGGTTGAATGAACTGGCAACAGTCAGCAAGGGAGCCAAAGAGAATGGGAACAGAGAGCCAGAGAGGACCTACAGGGGTGTGATCGCATGTCATTAAACCTAGGAGCAAAGACCTGCACCGATCATGTCTGATATCCGATACTAAATCCCAATCCAGTAACGATCTTCCTGGAGGCAAAACCTATGTGTTTAGAACGAACCACTGGGTACAGGCCCATGTCTCAGCCCCTAGCCTCCTTGGGTGGGCTCCAGGGAGTGTGTTGGCTCCTGGAACGGCTTCCTCTAACCATACTTCAAGATCTCTTGATCTGGCCATCCAGCCAGGCTGTGTCCATGCAAATTCATGACCTGGGCTGCTCTCCAGGACCAGCTAGATGAGTGGTTCTCAGCGTGTGGCCCACAGACCTCCTCTGTGAGGAAGGGAGGAGAGCTAATGAAGTGCTCATTCCTGGGTCTTCCTTAGATCCACTGAATCAGAAAATTGGGGGCAGGGCCCAGGAATCTGCATCTTTCTTAAGTATCCCAGGGGATTTTTAGGCACACTAATATTAATAAACTGCTTCACTGATTGGGGATTATAAGGCAGGGACTATGCCTTGCTCTCCCAGCACCCAGCAAGGTGCCCACAGCATGGACATGCTCAATAAATATTTGCTGAATGAACAGCTTTTTCCCAGCTGACATAGGCAAAGTTCATTTACTTTGCTGAAAGATGCTCAGTCTCCCCTGCACAGATGCATTCCACTGTTGGCCTCTTATCCCCTTTATGCCATCCTGATAAAGGGGGATTGACTGACCCATTGTTCCAGGGCACAGCCAACCCAGCCTGGGGACTGAAGAAGAATTCATTTTTATGAAAAACCTAACATGTCATCCTTCCATCTGCACACGATCCCTCTAGCCCCACACCTAGACCTCACGCACAGGCCCTGCAATGAAGACCTGAGGTCACTCCAGACAACTATGGGGTGGTAGGGATGGGCAGGACCTGTTCCTGGGCAACTGGACTCACAAAATTACAGGAAGACAAACTGAGCCATGGCCAGGGTGGCCTTGGCATGGTCTTGGCAGCTCAGTCCCTGGCATGGTTCTTCCAGAGTGCTGCCTGGGGCTGGTGGGGCAGGGAGCAGGCTGGTAGACAGAGCTCGTAATGAACGAAACCCTTGGCTCTCAATGGGATGGATGGGAGTGTGCGATCTCCTGACTCTCCACAACAGCAAAGCCCTGAATGGCTGTGAGATCTGAACAGCTCAAGGAGAAGTTGGGGCACACTGCTTCTACCTTCATTTTCCTCTTCTCTATAAGGAAAGCCAGAGGCATGTTCTGGGAGTAAATGCAGGTCCTCACTGGAGCCCTGACAGGATGCTAAGGGGGTCGGAGGTATAACCACTGGCAACAACATAAGGCGCTGGGCTCAGCAGGCCATATGGCATCTGTGTGTGAGGCATGTGTTTGGGGGCCAAGAAGGCATCAAGCATGGAAGCAGGCAGGGAGTCCAGAAGGGGGAACTGGAATCCCTACAAGCTGTAGCTCAGCACCTGGGGTCCTGGTTAAAAATGTGAGAGCCTGGGCTGCATCTCAGGCCTGGGGAATTGGTCCCTGGGGTGGGGCCCAGAGGCTCTGCTCTAATGAGCACCCTGTGCTCCAGGCAGCACAGAGGTTCTCATGAGTGGTGGTGGCGGGGAAGCGGGGAAGCAGAGGCAGGAAGAGGGCTGCTGGGATGAATGGGACTCTGATTCATGAGTGGGGTCTGGCAGGCCCTATGCTGTGCCTATTGCTGTCCTTCTTAAAGACACCTTAAATGGAGAGGCTCTTGTGTGAAGGTGAGGGGCATAATAACTCCCACTTTGTGAGAGAGAGAAGAGAGAGCACAGAGAGAGAGGAGATTGGAGCATAAGAAACAGAGAGAATGAGGCCTAGAGAGACAACAGTCAGAGAGATGCACACAGGCAAACCTGGGGCCTGAAAGAAACAGCTGCAGACACAGACAGGGTGCTGGGTTGGCTCTGGCCTCTCTCTCCTGCAGGAGGCTCACAGCCATCAGCACTGCCACTTGCTGGAGATGGAGAAGGAACTGGTTTAGACACATGTGGTCTGTGCATGCTACATGGATGCTGTTTGCCACCAAGTGGGCCTCTAGCACTTGTCATACCTGCTGGGCCCCTGTAAGCAACTCAGTTTGCAACCCCTATCTAAACCAATGTTTTTCCAACTAGAAGTTGCAACCCATTAGCATGTGGTGAAATCAATTAAGTGAGTCATGACCAGTGTGAAAAGGAATGCAGTGTAAGAGAAAATATCAGAGGGCTATCACACATGGGAAGAACATGCACTGTTTGGGGACACATTTGTATAATATGAGTTCTTGTCACAAAGTTGGCAATGACTGCTCTAAATCATACAGAGTTACATGACTTACCTTAGAAGACAATTTCTGAAAACCTGTACCAGAACAGGCTTTTTGGTACTGTGACTCCCTGTGTAAGTCCTGGGAGCTGGTGTTCTGGATGGTGAATAATTTCTCCCAGTTTGCCAGTTTGAAAAGTTGTGAGTTCTCAACAGCGAGAAGCTGAAAGCTTTTCCTTTAAGATCAGGAACAAGACAAGGATGCCCACTCTCCCCACTTTTATTCAACATAGTTCTGGAGGTCCTAGCCATGGCAATCAGACAACACAAAGAAATAAAAGGCATCCAGATTGGCAAGGAAGAAGTCAAACTGTCCCTGTTTGCAGATGACATGCTCATGGATAGGAAGAATTAATATTGTCAAAATGGCCATCCTGCCTAAAGCAATCTACAGATTCAATGCAATCCCTATTAAAATACCAAAAGCATTCTTCAACGAACTAGAGCAAATAGTTCTAAAATTCATATGGAACCACAAAAGACTCCGAATAGCCAAAGCAATCCTGAGAAGGAAGAATAAAGCAGGGGGAATTATGCTGCCTGACTTCAAGCTCTACTACAAAGCCACAGTAATCAAGATAATTTGGTACTGGCACAAGAATGGACCCATAGACCAATGGAACAGATTAGAAAGCTCAGATATAAACCCAAGCATATATGGTCAATTAATATACAATAAAGGAGCCATGGACATACAATGGGGAAATGACAGCCTCTTCAACAACTGGTGTTGGCAAAACTGGAAAGCTACATGTAATACAATGAAACTGGATTATTTTTTAACCCCATATACAAAAGTAAACTCAAAATGGATCAAAGACTTTAATGTAAGTCATTAAACCATAAAACTCTTAGAAAAAAGCATAGGCAAAAATCTCTTGGACATAAACATGAGCAAATTCTTCATGAACATATCTCCCTGGGCAAGGCAAACAAAAGCAAAAATAAACTAGTGGGACTATATCAAACTAAAAAGCTTCTGTACAGCAAAGGATACCACCAGTAGAACGAAAAGACATCCTACAGTATGGGAGAATATATTCATATATGACATATCCCATAAGGGGTTGACATGCAAATTATATAAAGAGCTCACACACCTCAACAAACAAAAAGCAAATAAGTCAATTAAAAAATGGGCAGAGTAGCTGAACAGACACTTCTCCAAAGAAGAAATTCAGATGGCCAACAGGCACATGAAAAGACACTCCACATCGCTAATCATCAGAGAAATGCAAATTAAAACCACAATGAGATATCACCTCACACCAGTTAGGATGGCCAACATCCGAAAGACAAACAGCAAATGTTGGAGAGAATGTGGAGAAAGGGGAACCCTCCTACACTGCTGGTGGGAATGTAAATTAGTTCAACCATTGTGGAAAGCAGTATGGAGGTTTCTCAAAAAACTAACAATTTTTTTTTTTTGACACAGTAATTCCACTCCTAGTTATTTACTCTAAGAATGCAGGAGCCCAGTTTGAAAAAGACATATGCACCCCTATGTTTATTGCAGCACTATTTAGAATAGCCAAGATATGGAAGCAACCTAAGTGTCCATCAGTAGATGAATGGATAAAGAAGATGTGGTACATATACACAGTGGAATACTATTCAGCCATAAGAAGAAAACAGATCCTACCATTTCTAACAACATGGATGGAGCTAGAGGGTATTATGGTCAGTGAAATAAGCCAGGCTGAGAAAGACAAGTATCAAATGATGTCCCTCATCTCTGGAGAATAAGAACAAAGAAAAAACTGAAGGAACAAAACAGCAGCAGACTCACAGATTCCAAGAATGGACAAACAGTTACCAAAGGGGCATTACGATTAGCACACATAATGTAGTGGAGGGGACACAGGAAAGGCAATGTAACACAGAGAAGACAAGTAATGATTCTATAGCATCTTACTATGCTGATGCACAGTGACTGTAATGGGGTATGTGGTGGGGACTTGATAATAGGGGGAGTCTAGTAACCATAATGTTGTTCAAGTAATTGTACATTAACGATACCAAAAAAAAAGTGCATAGTTTCTTTTACCCCTAAAGGTTTCTCTTGCTTAAAGCATATGAGGAGAAAAGGCAAAATCAATACTATATTTTGCTAAGCTGCTGCTTTATCTAATAAATATTTGCTGAATGCTTACTACATACCAGATGTTAGTTGCCCTTGGGAATTAACTAGATTTTCTCAAGAGAGGGCATAATCCCCAATTAAACATACATCTAAAACGCATGCTCCTGGATTCAAATACTCATTATTGTTAAAATGTCGATTCTCCCCAATTTTATTTTTAGATTCAACAAAATCCCAAACCCAGAAACTTTTTTGCCGACAGAAACATGCTGAATCTAAAATGTATATGGAAAAGCAAAGGCACTAGTCAACAATTATGGAGGACAAAGTTGGAGGACATGTGACCCAGTTTCAAGACTTACTCTAAGCTGACAATAATCACAAGAATGCAATACCAGTGGGACAGAGACACAGACCAAAGGGGCACAAAGGAGAACCAGGAAACAGAATTACACAAATAAAAACACCTGACTTTTGACAAAGTACAAAGGGAAATTGATGGAGAAAAGATAATGTTTCAGAAAATGGCACCTTTAGCAGCAGGATATTCTATGTAGAAAACATTAGACTTCATACTAACATCACCTCAAAATAGTTTATAGATCTACATGTAAAAATATAAAACCAAAATCTGAAGAGCGAAGAGCAGATTCATATGGCAGTGGGTCTCATGATGCTGGTCTGTTAGATATGATATCAAAAGCATGATCATAAAAAAAAAAAAAGTTGTGAGTTCTCTTAACTGAGGGCTCTCAGGGTGGAGCCCAGTGCCCCAGGCTGTCCCCCTCACCCTTCCCGCTGCTGGAGGATGGAGGCTAGACCCGCAGGGAGGGTACAGTCCCGTGTTCCCTCCCAGCCCCAGCCCAGCCCCACCTTTCTGTCAATGCCTTGCTCTGGGTGTCCCGCGCTGCCTGCAGATCCTTCTCCAGCCGCTTCCGGGCCATCTCCAGGTGCTCCACCTCCCCCTGGGTCCACTTCCGGGGGCTGATGAAGCGCATCTCCTTCAGCAGCTCCTCCTTCTCACTGATGAGGATCAGCCGGTCCCTCTCTGAGTCTAGCACTCCAGGCCAGGCCTCACTGTCGAGCTTGGCCAGCTGGATCTTCAGGTTGGCGATCCTGCAGGTCAAGAAGGCGAACATGACTGGCATGCCAGTGGCACTGCAGGAGCAGGGTGACAGTTTCCAAGGTGGTGAGGAATGAGGAGCCATGACATCTGAGCAATCTCTGACAGTCACTCTCTTCCTTTAGACTGGTGTGTCGTCTCAAAGAACATATTTTTATCTACTGAACATGTGCTCACCATGTGCCACCAACGAGTAGGCTCTGCAGGGATGGGGTAGAGACATAAACAAGGCAATGTCCTTGCCCTAAGGGACACTAACCCTGCAGGAGAGAGAGCTGGTTTTGTCACCAGGCAGGAGCCTCTGACCCCAGCTAAGTGACCTCAGGCAAGCCACTTCACCTCTCTGAAGAGTAACAAAAGCTCCTTCGTCCTGGGGTTGTGATTGAAAGTTTATAACATAATCCATAAACTCTCATAAAGCACAGTATTTGACATACAGTAGGCGCTCAGTGAATGTTTCTACCACTACTATTGTTATTACTTGGTTTGACCACTTAGTAGGTGTACAACATCATGCCTAAGCCTAATGTAAACTTCCTGAGCCCTGTTGATAAGAAAATGATTATCTGTCCACCGGAGTTGTGAAAATGAGCAATAATGTGTCCAGAGTGTCTGGCCATAACCAGTGCTCAATCAGTGGCAGTCACAGGGCCACGATGATGGCGGCAAATTCTACAACTGCTAACCACTCACTCCCAGTCCAGACAGCAGTGGTGACACAGCATGAACTGTGGATTTGGGGTCAGTGGCCTTGAGCCAGTCTTGGCTTTGAGCTTCTTGACAGAAGGCATCATTTCTTAAGAAATCATTGTGGTATCCCAAGCTTCTATCACAGTGCTTGGTACACTGCAGGCACCCACTAAATGTTAAAAGAAGTTGACAGCCCTATACTTTTACATCTTGAAACCCAGGATCCTCATCTGTAATGTTGGTGCCTCAGGGTGGGTTATAAGGACCATTAGTTCCTTCTACATTGCCAAGTGCTGCACAGACACTAGGTGTGATTACCTTTGCACCAAAATAACATTCATGGTATAATTAAGATCATTGCTATGAATATCTAAAAACAATCATAATGTGATCCTTTAGGATTTAGCATCTGTGAAGTCTTTTGGCTGTCACATCCTAGTCTCACCTCTCTCCCTCCCTAAAGGGTGGCTAAGACCTGGTGGTTAACCCAGTTGGCTAGATGTCTGGAGAGAATATGGATCATCTAAGACTGTAAGTCATAAACATGGCCAAAAGTTCCTGAGAGCCCAGGCCTCTAGACTCCCAGTTTGATCTTATCTGCAGACAACATGGCCCACCTCTTATTCAACCAAAACACTACTGGAGATAAGATCTCCATGCTGTGTAGTGAAAATTTTGTATAGAAAGACACATCTAGGTTTGCCCATTCCCCAGCCAAGTGTCTCAGAAGTATTTTAGAGTTAATTAATTCAAGTTCCATAGTCACATTCACAGCAATCTATCAAAATCAGCTTTGGGTAACTTTGTATCTTCAGCCACTTTGAGGATAGAATGGTATGGGCAGGGCTTGGAGGCAGGAGCTATAATACAAATAGGACACTGAAGGGTGACTGATGCTTTCTTGGATGTGCTTTCTAATGGCACTGGTCCTGTGCGAGTGCTGCTTAAACCTCAGGCCATATGTCCTTTGGAGAATCTGATGAAAACTATGAGGCTCTGCAGAAATGTGCATGTGACAAAGTCTGGCACACAATGATCGGGCCTTGCTTTACAGCCTCCTCTCTTCCCTCCTTCAAGCCGGCAGCCTCTGCTTTCCCTGCACCAGGCTGCTCTGTCCTTTACATTTAAACTACCTTTGCATGAAGAGGGAGGCAGGAAGCTGGACAAAGGCTGGTGAGACCGGAAGTTTTGTGATGAGAAGTTTAACGGCTCAACCCCAGAGTAAAGATTTCACCCTGTTAGTGTCTCCAGAACTGATCATCTAAGAAAGGCATTACGGCAGGCTGGAATAGGTCCAGGGTTCAGAGGTGTCCTCTTCAGAGGGGACAAGAAATTTCTGTCCAAATTTAGAAGTCCTGCTGTTTTGCTGGACCTCTAGGGGGAGCTCAAATAGTACACAGGACAGTACTTCTTTTTTTCCTACCTGACCAGTATTCAGTTTCTCCTTTTGTTAACAATGTTGCAAGTTTTATTTGGGAAAGCACTCCAACCAAATTTTCAAGCCACTTGGTTACCACAAACCTGACCTCAATCCCCTTCCCAGAGTTGGGCACCTCACCCATGACTGAACCTTCAGACAATTCTAATTCCTCTTACTCTGCAATAACGATTGGTTCACTCAGAAAAGCCAGTGAGTCTCAAACCTGAAACTTGTTAAAACTGTTGGAAAGGTAGGTCCTCTTTCTGCTGGGATTGCTAACTTGGTAGTATATGAGCCTAGAATTGCTGGGGATCATCTTTCTACTTTGACAGGAACGTCACACAAAGGCAAGCAGGGTAGAGAAAAGGAGAGAAACTGAGTCTATGCAGCATTATTTGAATCCCTGGATCCAGCTGTGCCTGAAGCTAACTACCCCAGGACTTTGGATTCAATAAGCTTACAGATCCCTTTTTTGCTTCTTTTAGTATCTAGAGCATTTCTGTCACTGCTGCAAAGGGTTCTGCTGCTCACACAGAGTTGGCAGAGAGGTACTTTTATACTCTACCTGGCCTGGCTTAGAATGTCTATGGGCCAGGGAATATAGCCTAAGGAGGAATAGATACAATATATTCCATTCACTGTCCTACCCTGTGAGTTCTTCCTCAGTAACGCTGGCTCAGGGTATAGGAAAATCAGACACTTGGAGCCAGATCATCCAGGATTCAAATTCTGACTACCACCCTGAGTAGTCATAAAGCATCATTGATCTTACCCTCTTTTTCTCTAACATGGAGATAATAAGATACAAGCTATGCTTTAAAAGATTGCTTTTAAAATTAAATGAGATGATGCACATACAAACGTTTTAGTACAATGCCTGGCCCATAACAGATGATCTAAAAAATGTCAGCTCTCATTATCACTTTAATTTTATTTGTGGCAGTGAAACCCAACTGCTTAGGATTCTGTGAAGCCACAGCACATCTAAAGTCACTGGGGTCTACATGGTTCAAAAGCATAGCTTGCTCCCAAGTGGGCAGGAGACACTGAAGTAGGTGGTATCCATAGTCTTTTAGAATGTTGTTAAAACCCCAGTTGTACTCCTTCAAACCAACTACTTACAGGCTCATTAGAAAACTGTGCTTATAGAAATTCAGAAAACAAGCAGGAAGGTAACTATGCTTTGAGGTTTAACAGCTCTGGGTTCAAAGCATAGTTCTACTCTTTATCTAGCTAAGTGTTCTTGGGTCAGTCATTTCCTCTCTGAGTATCATATTCGTATTAAAATATGAAGTTATAGCACATATCTTCATAACCCTTGTGACTATTAAACAAGAGGAAGCATATAAATAGCCAGGCACAGAGTGACACTCTACAATAGCATGCAGTATTATGGTTGGAATGATCCAGCCTCTAAGTACCTTCTCTTAGCCTCTTCATAGCGAAGGCGCAATCTGACCTTCTCTGCCAACTGATTGTTGCTGCCAGTGCCAAACTGGAAGAAAGAACAAAGTACAGAATTATGTGGCTACTGTGGCCGAGGTTGAGTTAGTTTTCAAGGGCTCATGAGAGACTTGACAGCTCATGTGGGAAGTAGCTAAGAATAGCCCCCAGTTATTGAACTGGCTGAGCTGATCACAAGGAAGCGAGTTAGGCAAAAACACGTTTCTTCCCTCAATCCAGGGGAGGAGCCCCAAACTCAGAAATCTATCTCTTCTAGAAGAGAAACCGAGGGACCCCAGAATATCATCTAGCAGTCCCAAATGGTTTGGGGGCCATTCAAGCATGGAGGGCGGTTGGTCAGGAGGAAACAAGGACAGTCAATATATAAAAAAAGCCACCTTGGGGGTACTGGGGAGGGGGTCAATTGAAAACCCAGAGAGGTTGCAGACAGGAGAGAAAAAAACTGAGTGAGCAAGGAGAAGGTCCTAGAACTTGGAAGGAGGCCCATAGGTGGCTTGTAGCTGGACACATGAGTGGTGTGGAGGAGGGGACAGCCCTGTTTGCCATGCCAGCCTGTCAAAGAGTGGCAAGAAAATATCAGGCTCATCCAATCAGACACGGCATACCTTCTCTTCACAAGTGGGAACACAGCTATAGAAACCAGACAGGAATAGCACTTGGCCATGGAGGTTGGGAGGTAGGTTGGTTCAGTGTCACCTGGTATAGGAAACAAAAGTTCTCCAAAAGTTCCAGGTTGCCGTGGGTAAGTCCTGCTCTGGTGCCTTCATGAGCTACATCTGGATAGCACTTGCACTATTTATCACTAAGACCAGACTGAGCTTTTGAACAGGGAGTCAAGTAGCTGTCTGAATGCTGCATGCAGTGTTTTAGGCCAAACAGAAGGGAATATCCTCTGCTTTCTAGCTCATGCAAGAAAAATAGAACGGCACTCCAAATTAGAATAAAGGAAGCCAGGGAAAGACACTTGGTCCTTCAAACATGCTTTCTGTGCAGCATCTAGACGCACAAGCAGGTGGCTTGGCAACGCTGAGGAGTCAGTGCTGGCTTCTCCTCATCTCATGTCATCCTGGGGTGTGTAAGGGAACAGAGCTCCAGAAGACTGAGGGACCAGCCAGGCCCACAGAGGAACCAGTGCCTCAGGTGAGGAACAAGACGGTGGCTGCCCACTAGACCAGCCTCCTGGGCACTGTCTCCTGGAAGGCCCCCAGCAGCACGCACTGCCTACTCACACTTCCTGAGATGTCTGTCTGGGAGCTCACATCCAGGTACTGCTTTGGCAGTGGGAAACTCGAACTCTCCAAAGAGCTGCTGCTGGACCACAGGTCAGAGGGGGACCCTCTGTCAGTGCGGAAGCCGTCTTTCAGCATGGCCAGGCTCTGAAGAGGGGAGGCAGGGTTAGCAACACACCTTACTGGAGGGGGAGCTCTCTGCATGTCACACTCCACCTAGTTTCCTGTTCACTTTTTGTAATTTGTAGGAACCTATGCTCCCGCCAGACATTCTACTTATCTTGTAAAGAGCTAGCAGCAGGTGGGTACAAGGCACTGTGCTGGGTGCTTCACACAGCAGAGACTGGCATGGACATGGGCTTAGGAGCCATACTGTCTGAGTTGGAATCCCTGCTCTACCACTTCCTAGCTGTGTGATCTGAGCTTGTGGAGTAACCGCTCTGTGCCTCAGTTTCCTCTCCTGCACAATAGAAATAATTACAGGTCCTATCTCACAGGGCTATCACCCTGACTTAATGAGATGACTAGTGTAAAGCCAGCCAGTATTCAACAACGATCTGCTTTACAATGATCTCATTTAATCCTGTCATCAGTCCTGTGAGGAATGACCTGCGATTATCCCCACTTTATTGATGAGAGTTGTTACAAGCAGAAGCTGGCTATTGGCAGGGCCAAGATTTGGTCCTGGTCTCTCCGACTGAAGACTCAGTGCTCCTGACTGCTAACTACAATAAGAACATGCCTCACTTTCCACTAGTACCTCATCTGAATGTTTTCACCAGGCTGCTATGGACAGGGACTTTGAGATTATTCTGTTTGACGTAGCAGAGCTCCCTGCACTAAGTCATTTACAACATTTGTGCCTGACTCCTAATCTGCTGAAGGAAACAAAAATACAATATCTGGGAGGTCAGCATAGTTCCTATGAAGGTGGGATGTACAGGGATTAAGGGAATGGGCTTCTGAGTCAGGTATCCGTGGGTTTGAATCCCGGTTCTATCACTTCCTCTCTGAGCTGTACAGTCATTATCAGTATGATGGGGATAAACTAGGACTGATGTGAGGGACAAGTGAGGCACGATACAGTCAAGGTGCTTGGCACAACTGCCTGGTACACTGAATGTTACCTATCACCATTTTGTTCAGTTCCTAGCATACAGTCAAAACACTGTTGTAAGCAACGAAATGCTTACAAAAAGATGCCACACTGTGATGGTGGAATGTCAAAACCACCTCCCTCCACTTGGTTCTTTGAGAAGTAAGTCAGGTGGCTAGTGGCAAGGACATGGCCCTGGACTAGACCATGGCTCCTGTTCTGCTGTTTACACTGTGTGACCTTGGGCAAGTTATGTAATGCTCCTGAACCTCCATTTCCTCTTCTATAAAATGAGGCTGAAAGCCCAAGAAAACCAGATGAGGACTTGGTGATTGTGTGGCATGTGGAGACGGCCCACAGGTCCTGGCAAGAAAGGTGCTCAGAAGAAATTGAGATGGGGCCCATGTTACCGGGAGCTCTCATACCTTGATGAGATCTTGCTTTTCCTTTTCTCCACAGGTGATGGCCTTTTTGATCGCTTTTGTTTCTCTCAAGACAGCCTGAGCTTCGTCCAGTTTGTAGCTACCCTGAGCGTCAGACATTTTCTTATCAATTCTAGGAGACAATCAGTGGGAAAGGTGAGACAAAGACCAGGCAAGGGATGCAGTTCCCCAGGGGAAAAGCACAGACCAACAGTCTTCAGACCCCACGAGAAGGGTCCTCTCGGTTCAGCACACCTTCCCTCCCCAGCTCCTGACTACAGGAGAAGGCACAGAAGGTCCCTGTTGAACTGCGGTGTTCCCTGGTGTGGGGCTGCAGAACACCACCACTGCTAAAGTCAAGAGTCCACTAAGCATCAGCTCTCACAGGAAGCTTTCCCTGATGCCCCCTCTGGGTCCTGTAGACTGGGCTAGGTGTTCTCATAACACATTGCACATAGCTGCGACACTGTACCCATCATGCTGCATTATGACTAACAGTTTATGTGGCAGTATCCTTGACATGTCTCTGACAGGCTTGGGGACGGAGCAGGCTACACACGTGTGAGTGGTTTCAGTATCTGGCACTAGAACAGTCCTTTACATTTGGCGTTTGCAGCTGGATCATTCTCTGTAGTGGGAGGCCATCCTGCGCTCTGCACAACATGTAGTAATACCCCTGGCTTATACCCACTAGATGCCAGTAGCACCCTGACCCTGAGGTATGACGACCCAAAATGTCCCCATCCTTTGCCTAATGTCCTTGGGGGAAGAAGCAAAATCACGCCTGAATGGACACAATGAAGGAAATGTTTAGGATGAAATACTCAGCCATACTACTTAGTAGTGTGACCTTGAGCATGGACTTCAAAAACACCTGGACATCATCTGCCCAGCCTATGTTCATGCAGCTATTAGGAATGTCAAATGGGATGAAGGATGGAAAATCAGGCAGCACACTAGGAAGTACTGGACACATGTAAGGGATTTAATTACTTCTACCCTGAAGAGCTTATCTACGTCCTACATACATGTTCATTTTGATGAGGGGGAAAGAGTAAAAAACACATTAAGGGTCATGATGTGGCTTCCTGAAGATCAGACCAAATTAGAGACAGTATGGATGCCAGCCCTCCGGGCAAGGAAGGCTGTGGAGCAGCAGAGGTCTGGGGGGCAGAGATGGGTTTTCCTGCCTCACACTTTCACCAGGGCTAGGCCGGAGGTTTCAGTCCCCCACGGAGGAAAGGAAGTTTTACAGTCTGAGGAAACACCACAAACCCATTATTTCAGGATGAGAAACTGCTCACGGGCATTTCTCTCTGGTTTCCTGCTAGAGACCAAACTGTCCCGGGCTAAAAATAACCTGAGTGGGGAATCGCTGATGGGGAGGGGGTTTTAGCCTTGGTCTCAGAGTCCGCGCTTCTGAGCAGCAGAGACTGAGCAGCAGAGAGCGGGAATGAACTTGGGCTCAGCATGGCCCTCCCCCTTCCCTTCCGTTATTTCAGCCTCCATGGAGAGAAAACAAAGCCCCATTTATGTCTCCTCGCTAAAAATAGCCTGTCTATTCCTTTCGAGGACTGGAGCCTGGGCAAGCCTGCCAGGTCCGGTAAGACTGGTCTCAGATTTAGTTTGAAAAATTAGTCTAAAGGGAGCTTCCCCCAGCAGAGGCCTGCCCGCGATGCGCTGTGGAAAGGATTCTCCAAGTGAGTCCAGGACCAGAGGTGGCTCTGCCCCAAAGTGGGGGACGTGCAGGGCAAATGCTATTCGCTTGAGCATGTGTGGGGGCTGGGGGCTCTGGGGAAGGGACTGTGCCCAGCTGTCCTCTGCCAACAGGGTGAGGATGGCTTTGAATCCTCAGCAGGATGAGGACAGAAGCGGTCTGTCTGCTGGGCTTCGGCTCCTCAGACAGCCTCTACCTGATTTCTCTCAGGAGCCTTAGCAACCCAGGCTCTGGAATTTGGCTCCAGAGAGCAGGTCCAAGGGGGAACACTCCTGAGATTGGGGCGAGGGGAACAAAGGGTCACCATTATGTACTCAGTGAATGAGTCTTTCTCTGCCTTTTTTTTTTTTTAAGGGAAAGAAAAGTTGTGTGGTTGCCGGGGAGGAGAGGGTGTGTGGGGGATGTATGTGTTTTAGGATTTCCAAATTACACAGCTGTCCTTTCTCTGGGCCCTTCGGAGACTCGTAGTTACAGGATGGCCACAGAGAAGCAGGGCAAAGGCTCCGCCAGCTGCCAGCTCCTCCTGGTCTTGTCCAGACACCTCTCACCTGGGCAGGGCGGCTCTGGGGATGAGCAGGGGGATCCCACCCTGCCCTCCTCCCTCAGGGATGCTATGCCAAGGCTCAGCTCTTCTCTGTTTATTAGGGCTCGATGCAGCTGGCAGACCCAAAGGCCAAGCTTTCATCTGGACTTTTCAGTCTCTTCTAAGGGGTAGCCTTCAATCCTCACCAACCTTTTCTCTTTTTAAAACTGAGGTTGCCAGCCACAAACCAGGCAAATGGAAGAATTTCACTTTCCCCCATGTTCTGCAGAGAGGAGGCTAACACGCAGGAGTAACTCTATCATCCCAGACGAGACTCGGGAAAGGATCCCAGAGGAGATGGGAAGAGGCCTCATGTTTTTGGGGTATGAGGGGGAAGTTACCTGGGATGAAGCCCAGAAGGGAGATACTAGGACATGAGCTTCAAAATCCCAGTCCTGGTTGTAATCCAGCTCTGACGCTTACTCAGTGGGTGGCCTTGGGGGAATTTTCAACTTTGTCACTGCCCTCATCAATACAGTGGAGCAGAACAAAACTTCCTTTAAGGGAGTAAAGACACTGAATGGAGTGGCTGGTGCAAGGCGCTTACCCAGCACAGCCTCCAGCCCAGGGCGAACGGAGAGCTCATCTGGATCCTTCCCAACTCAACAGGCAGCTAACTAGAGGCCACCACCCCCCTCAAACTCACTGGCCTCTTCCTATGTGCTAGGCACTGCCACACACTTTAATTCAGTCTCTATAATAACTTATTTTTCAGATAAAGAAACTTAAGCTCAAAGGGATTAAGTCACTTTTCCAGGGTCCTGGGAACTGGGATTTAAACCCAGGTCATCTGCCTTTTGTGCTACATTCCTGACCTTTTGTGCCAAGGTGTGCATTACAGCAGATGCCTTCCTCCATACTGAACACAAAGCGGGCTTCCAGCTAAGGAGCATGGGTGGTCAGAGCTGCAACAGAGTCTTATCTAGGCCTGATATCAAACATCAGGTGGAGGTGGGGGAAGGAGGCTTGTCTTTGGGGTTTAAGCATTAGCTTACCAAACAACAAGAGTTTTAAATGCTGCTACAGCTTGACAAAGTAGTAAAACAGGTTTGTGGTGGCTCAGAGAATAATGGGAAGTGATCTAACCAGAAGCTCCTGAGGACTGCAGGAAGGGGGCGGGGAGAAGGCCCCTGAGGTAGACAGTGACCACGTGGGAGTGAGTAGCCCTTAAACTATGTGCTCAGGAGCTGCTCCACTGCAGAGGGATGGACTGATGTGGGTATCTGCTTTATAGGTCAAGAATGGGTATTTTCTAAGCTCACAGTACTGCCTTCAACTGTCCTTGGCACTACTGAAGATCACCAAGAAGCATAAAACATGGTCCCTTGTCTTACTGAGATTAGGATCTGATTTGAGAGACAAAATTGATATACATATGTATCTATGTATCTAAATGCACCTACATATATAGAAATATAAAGCTTATTTTTATAAAACCATATTTATATCACACAATTTATAGTAATTTATAATACAAAAATGCATTGTACACAATAACACAGAGCTGTCCTTTCTGACACTTGTATTGTGGGAGACTCGCAGTGGCTCACCTCACACATTGGGAGCTTGGGGATGGGAAGATGTAAGAACCAAATGGTCCTTCGATGGGCGGCCACAGTCCCCTTGGTTCACAGGGCTTAGAGACAGACATCCAAAGGTGTGGGGCTGCGGCCACAGAGCGGTGGGGGTGCACGTGAGGCTCAGAGGATGAGGAAAAGGTAAGGTCAGCGAGAGAGAGAAACCAAGCGACTGCAGAGGCTGCTGTCTGCACAGACATGGCCTCCCTGGGAATCTGACTGAGATGGCCCTCAGAGCAGAGAGACTGACTGGATGTCCGCCCTGGAGCTTCCAGGAGCTGCCAGACACCATTGTGACGACCACCTCTGGGCCCATCAGATATTCTGAATGTGACTCAACGGATTACGTACGTCTTGGTTATGCGTGTGGTTAATTATAATAAGCCAACATGGGGCACTTAACTATGTGGCTTAGTTTCCTCGTCCATTTTACAAAATGGAGTTAGCTAAAAGAACATCCTTACAGTGTTGCAATGGGGTCACCCATGCAGAAACACTGCAAGTGCTTCCCAGCACAGAGTAACTACTCACAAATCTAGCTAGAATGATCATGATAACAACAATGAACACTTCTGCTCTAAAGAAACGACAGAGCTGTACCTTGCTTGGCTGCAAGTCAGTTTCTAAAAACGAAAATCACACTCATTCCAAGTCATCCTGGAAACTTCTTAAGTTGCCTGTAAAGTCCAGTGAGTACGGCACCACACATGCTCCTCCAGCGATCTGTCTGCCGTGGGAGACACACCCTTCTTTCTCGGTGGGGCGCTCTAACCGAGTTGCTGCCCACTTTTGGGCCATGGAAAAGAAGTTTTGTTTTGTCTCTGTGCAAATCACATCCTACTGGGTCTACTAGAAGGGATGAGACAGATGCACAGAAATGCTCAGTACTTGTTTCTATGACTGACTGGTAAAATGCAAATGAAAGGAACATGATTCCTTTCCTTTCTAAATCTCAGCTGTGGGTAATGTTATCTTCAGTAAAGGTCAGAGGAATAGAACTGGAAACGAATGAAGAGAGCCGCATTTCAAGAAGGGAGGAAAGGAGCTGAAGGAGACAGAGACAGAGACAGAGAGGGCAGGAGGTGAGCACGGGTCAGGGGCAATCTCCAAGTTCCCCACAGCAGGCTGGACTTACTTCTTCAGGGTCTGGAAGCCATGCTCTTTGAACTGTAGCTCCTGCTGGAGGTGAACCATCTCTCTCTTTAGCTTGTTGACCTGGATGGCAGAAGACCACACACAGGGCTAGGTCAGAGGTTAACACCGAGCCTCCGGCAGCCTTCTCCCAGAAAGGGAACCCAAAGCCCCCACGGCCCCTGCAAAATGACTCAGATCAACATCCCTTGGTCACTGGTCACAACACCCTCCTCTCACTGATGCTGCCTTGGTTCTGCAGCTGCACATCAGTCGGCACCCAGCCTGGCTGGCTTGCAGGTCATTCCTTGCCAACCTTCACTCCAGGGAAACAAAGTGCACAGGAATTGGCGGACCTGGGATAGAGCTTGGCGCTCCCTGCACCAACCAGGACCTCTCTCAAGCATCTTGCCATTCTGAGCCTTTCCTGTTCTGACAAATGAGGATAATGGCAGCTCCAGGGCTGCGCATCAACTTAAAGCAGGTAATGGGTATGGGAGTGCTGTGCATGGAGGTGAGAGGCAGTATAGTGACTTTAGAGGCAAGACATGGCCTGGGAGCCAGATCAGCCTGCAGAAATGCTTTGTTTGGCTTGCCGTGTTATTAAATTTTAAAAAATTAGTTGCTAATAATTAAATACTGAGATTTTGTATAATAAACATAGGTATATAATTATCTTCTAAAAATGCTTGAAGATCTGCCAACACCGAACCCACATTCCAGCATGGCCCCAATGGGGTAGGGCTGACATTCAACTACCCCTTTAGTCAGGGCACACCCGTCTAGGTCACACAGCCCCCACTGCTCCCTACTGCCTCACTCTCAGCTCACTTCCCCCTTTTATATTTTCTTGCAGGCATCTGAATTTATAGAACCTACTTAAATTTAACTAAACCAGTGCTTGAAATACTGATTTTACCTTGACCAACTCAACTACTGTGCCTCAGTTTCCACATCAATGATGTGGGAATAATATCTATCTCCTAAGGTAATCATGAAGTAATTAAATATGATGATGCAAAGTCAGCAGTGGCTAGGAAGACAGTATATGACATTAAGAACTTTAGAGTAAGCTTTGAGTCTCTTGCGACCTTGGGCAAGTTATTTACCTCCCCTAAGCCACTGTTTGCTCATGTTTAAGGTGCAGATATTGACAGGAGCTCCTTCAAGGGGCTGTTGAAAGGACATAGCACTCATAAAGCATTTAGCACTGTACCTGGCATATAGTGATTGCTTATGAAATGATAACTGTTATTACCATTGCTATTACTATGATGACTACTACTACTGCTACTACCATTATTATTTAGGATCTTGCTTATCAGCATTGGCTGCTACCGTCTGGGTGAGGCATGTACTCTGGTCCTGTGGGTAAGCTAGTGGCCCAAGGCCTAAGGGACCCCCATCAACAGTACAGGCAAAGAGGCTCTACCCGGGATTTTGCAGTGGCAATTTCAGCTTTCAGGATCTCGGGGTCATACTTAGAGCTGGAGGACGAACCAGAGACCACTGCAATAAAAAAGAAACAAAAATTCTGTAGAAGAAACACATTTGGTAAAGTTGGCTTATTTGGCCATCTAGATAAATCTGGAAAGAAACAATTATTGGCAAACAACCTAAATGTACAACAAAAGGGGATATGTTAAATAAATATGGTATATGCATAGAATGGGGACTATACAACTTAAGTGATTTAAAATGATGGTGCAGAATATTGCAGGACAAGGGGAAAATGCCAAACTTGTTATTACATGAAAATGACAGTTTACAAAAAACTACAAAGAAGAACTTAAATTTGGGAAATATATACACACACACAAATCCATCTAAAAATAGACTGGAAAGAAATATTGCAAAAGGTAACGCTGATATCTAGAGATCTGAATATTAATTTTCATCTTTGTATTTTTCTTTCTTCTCCACATTTTCTAACACAAACATGTATTTTTGTAACTAGAAAAAAATTACTAAAAATTACTGTACTTTGTTAGTGTAATTTGAAAAGGAAAGTAAATAATGCATAATCATATTGCCCTAATACAATTCTTTTCTTCAAGCTACATTCCAATGTTTATCTATAGTTCTATCATGTGGTATTTGTAATCTTACTGTATTCTTAAAATAGTATTTATGTCTTGAAAAAGGATTTCATGACTTAGAAAAATGAACACAACAGAGTAAAATAAATTCAAAGTAAGAAAAACGAAACGAGGAGATAAGAGGAATCAAAGTGGTAACAGACATGAGGTTAGGGCTCATTGCCTACCATGAGGTCCCACTTCCTTATGTTAACCAAACAAAATAATACTGTCAGTTATTTTACCAGCAAAATGGGTTTATTCAGGAACAGCACAGAATTGCAATTCAGGACAAGCAAGCTATGGCAAAACCACAGGCATGTCCTAAGAACAAAGGAAAGGCCTGCTTTTTTACAGAAAGAAGAAAGTGGGTTGCTGCAGGGACTTTCTAGGCAAAAGTCCACTGGAGGAAACTGGGGAGTCCCATGTGTGATGGCTGCTCACTGGCTGAGATGAGTATCTCATAGGTTGGGCTGATGGAAGCAGAAACTCTTCCCCCGTCCTACTGGGTGGTAAAGTAGCCAAAATAGTCTGAGTTGCAAGATGTCAGTCCCTTCCTTCCATGGGGGTTGCAATTGAAAAGAAAGAGTGGGCACGTGAGCTCCCCCTGCAGGCCTCTGACACCATACCAGTGAGGTTTCCCTTTATTAATTTTCACACTTTTCACACAAAACTGGCTCTCAGCTTCCTAACTGGTGATGTGAAGAGGGAAATGGCCCAATATTAAGGTCCATTGTGTCCTTAAGGTAAACACAACCCTGCTGTTCAGGAAAAGGACAGTCATTCTTGGTAAGGAGGCCACAGAAGTGTTTGAGTCCTTAACCCCACTCTATGAGCAAGTTCACCACCTCCCCTTTCCACTCAACATCACCTGAACACACTATTTGTGTGTAGTGAGATTTTTCTGAGGACGAAGAACTTATGTGGAGACTGCTGGCAATTACCAGTGTCTGGAAGGTAGAAGTGATGGTCTGAAGGAGATGCTGCTTTTTGGATTTGGTAAAAATACTGAGTGGGTCTTTGATTTTGCAAAAGGAAAGTTAAAATGCAACATTGGAAAGTTTGGAAAATGATATAAAACTGCTCTGCAGAATAACACAAACGTTTTGCACCACGGACAGTGTTGCATTTCTGCCAAGTTTATGATGATGGTGGTGTAATGAAAGCTGAGCTTCAGAGAAGCTGAGTAGCAGGAACACCTGGGTGGGGAGGGCCCTGTAGCCCTCATCATGAGCATGGAACAGGGACTCCAGACACAGGGATGTTTCATTTCCAGCTGGGAGCTTTCATTTCCTGTATTCCAATTCCTCTGGTCTTTGCTGGGCTTGAGGATTTCAGAGAAAGACCTGGCTGGATACATAGTTGGAGGCATTCACTTAAGTATATTCTCCAGGTCAGTACTTCTCAATACAATTTTAAGGTAGTTAACAATATTTGTTACCCACTGAAAGTCAAAACATGAAAAGACAAGAATGGTCGTTAGTGTGGAAATAAAATAAGGATACACACAGAAAGCCTGTTCTGTGAGCTCCCTACCCCACAGCCATCCTGCTTGTTGGGCTGTGTGGCAGGACTTGGGCCTACACTTCAGGCAGGTGTAAAGGTGAGCCTGACGGCAGCCTGGAAAAGCCCTAAAAAATTGCAATACTTGATCCTAACAGGGCGAGGGTGGCTGTGGGGACCAGCAACACCAGGGCTGACTAGTGGAATGCAGAGGTGTTCCCTGGACATGCTCAAAAATCCTGGGGGGATAGGAACCCCCAAAAGAACAGATTTCCTCCAACTGGGCATGAATTGCTACCCTCTGGGGTATCACTGTAAAGTGCCCTATTTGTATCCAAAGATGCTGAAATAGGATGTAGCCTATTATCATTTTTCACATCAACTTCTTATCAATTAAAAAATACATGTGGAAAAGTGCATAAATAATGTGTGGAGCTTGATAAATTTTCACAAAAGAAACACACTCAAGTAACCAGCACGCCAATCAAGACATAGGCTATCACCTCCCCTTTCTGTCTGCATCCATCCCCTCACTATCCCTCTATTACAATTATTTTATATTTGAACAGGATCTTAGAGATTGCCTTAAAGTTCCCACCTTTTCATAGTTTGTAATTGCTTTTATTCAAGTTATATCTGAACATAGTAGTTTGCTAGAAGAGAGCACAGGCCCCTATTCCAAATCTCACTCCCCAAATGGGAACCATTTCAGTGTGTTCAGCCAGTTTCTTGGATATCCTCCTCTACATATCTAATAATATGCGTGTGTTGTTGCTTCTTGATTTTTTCAGTTTTAGGCACTTCTCTCTGGAGAATGGAGAGTTTAACTTCCCTCCCTCCCAGCTCCCCATCCTGCTTAATTACAGCATAATTTTGGTGAATGCAGTCTTCAAGGTTTGCATTGCTTTTACTCTGTACACATTGTTCAGAGTAGAGGCATGTTGCTGACTTGGCTTACTTTTCTTTTCCAGCTCATTTTTTCCCCTTAGAGTTAATAATTGTCATTTTTATGCTTGCTTACTTTCTATATAGCCTTATCACTGACTCAACCTCACCCTCTGCCAATTATCTAAATCTCCTCTCACAGAGTCCACTGAACTCTGCTGGTTTCCTTTTTGGCCCTGTCTCGCCGGGGTGTGTGGTTTCAGGGTGAGCTGGCTGCTCACTGTACTGCTGGAATCCTGAGATTCCCCTCCTTGCCTCTCTCCTTTCCTAAATACCATGCCTTTCCTTCTACGGCCTACCCCCTCATTCTGGTAGAATATTACTCTCAGTGGCTTCTTGAGAAAGGAACCACACGGGAAGCAACTTTTGGAAATCTTGCTTGTCTAAAAATACCTTGATTCTACCCTATGCTTGATTAAAGGTAGTTTGGCTAGATATGGAATTCTAGGAGTTTCCTTAGATTCTTGAAGGCATTGCTCCATTGTCTTTTAGGTTCCTAGTGTGAGAAGCCCAGAGCTATTCTGTGTCCTGATAATTTTTGTGTAACCTAGTTTTCTCTCAGAAAGCTTTTAGGACCTTGAATCGCTCCCAGTGTTTGAAGTCATACAATAATGTATCTTGGTGTGAGTTGACTTTTAACTTGTGTTGGGCAACTGCTCATGGAGCTCTTTCAATCTAAAATCTCTCCCTGCTAAGTTCTGGGAAACTTTTCCGAATTATTTAATTGATTCTTCTTCCCCTTGTTTCCTCTGATCTATCTGGAACTTTTATTACTGAAATAGATTTCCTGGTTTGGTTCTCTATTTTTTTTTTCTCAGTTTCTACCTCATTGTATTTTTGCTGTGCTCTTTAGATTTCTTCAGTTTTACCTTTTAGTTATCCTGGATTTTAAATTTCTACTATCATATTTTAACTTCCAAAGGCTCTTTTGTGTTCTCTGAGAGTTCTTTTTTTATAAAACATAGCATCCGTTTCTTGTTTCATGGTTACGTAGCTTCTCCAGATGTTTTCTTTGCCTGTGTACTCCCCGATCCAAGGCCTCCCTATTACCATGTGTTTGTTTTAATCTCATTTTTCAAGTTAGAGGCTTTCCTGGAATGTCTGGAATCTCAGCTGTCTTGCTCACATTTAAGAGTGGGCCCAAAAGGCTGGAGCAATAAGCAATAAGCCTATTGATGGTGGGTTATGTGGTACATGATTTGGCAGGACTGTCTCACCCAGGAATCCTCAATGTAAGTGTCTTTACATCTTTCCTCTGGTCATTCCTCAGACTCCTCTACTGTCCAGCCTGAATGGTAGTAGCCTGGCACCATTCTGGGAACCAAGTGGTACATGCCAGTCTAGCTAGGGTCTCAAAATCCTGTATGTCTGTGTGTACCTACCCACTGTGTTTTTGGTATAGTGTACCCCAGCTTTGAGCTAACCTTGTATCCAGTAGTCCAGAAACTCTCTTTTACTGTTTCCAAAAAATATATCTCCAGTCTTTTGCCAGGTTGGGGATGGGCAATTGCCTGGCTGTGCCCATCTGGGAGATCTGGTGGTCTGGCTCAGAAACACCTTTCACACAATCCTCTTTATTTGACCCCACTCACCTCACTCCCACTCCCAGACATAGCTGCTGCCTCTGATTCCCTAGGATTTTGCAAGTGCTCTATGTTGATGAGAGTGTTGATGTTTCTCACTATTCACCCATTTTCTTTCCTCAGGTCTATCAGACAGGTTGCTGCCTGCCTGTCTGCTTTCCAGCTTCTATTTTATTGCTGCTCCTTTTTGTCCAAGTTTCCCTTTCCTTGTGCATGCATGCCTTAAAAAAATCTCTTAACTGATATTTTCTTAGTTTCAGGAGAGACTAAATTCAGGTGGATGGTTCAACTGGCATTTTTAATTGCAAGGTTCCTTGTGATTTATTTTTCAAATGAGAAACTAAGGCCTAGAGAGAGGAAGGGGCATAGTGAGGTCCCAAAGAACCCAGCTATTCTGAGT